TCTGCTTATTTTGCAAACGTTCGTGCAGTCTGCTGTGCAAAGAGATGGTGCCTGCTGTAACTCCTGTGCTTCTGTGGTGTGTGTGAAGTGATTGCACAGCTTCTACACCTCAGACTGCCTGAGCTGTTGCAGAGAGTGTTTGATGCTCCGTGTTGTGTGTGACTTTTTCTTTTTTTCTTCTTTTTATTAATCACCTTGGTTAGCTAATAATTTAGTTGCTCTTCAGGGGATAGATAAAAAAAAAAGTACCAATAAGCTTTGAGGCTTTAAAGCCAGTTTTATACACAGGAAGCCTGAAATTAGGGCAATAAAAGATATTTCTGGTGCTATTTCCTCTTACTAAACACCTCTGTCTATCAGGCGAGTGCCTATTCAGGTATTTGCTGATGAATTAATTTGCCTGTAGAGCTCAGCTACAGCTACAGTGTTTTTTGCAGAGTTGCTCTCTCTCACAGCTGTGGCTCTATTGTTTAGGAGAATTTTAGTATAATGCACTCATCTGATGCTTAAGTTCTTCCTTCTTCTCCAGACACTGATAATTTAAAATGTGTTTTTATAGAAGTATTAATATAGCAGCCAGTAATACTGGACTGCCATTAAGAGTTATAGTAATAGGCTCTTTAAAAGTAGTATTGTTGCTTCAGTATTGCTCCATTTTACATGTGTAGTGCTAGTAATGTCAAATGAGGTGCTTCTGATTTCCAATATTCTAACTTAATTTCACAACTGAAAAACCTGAGTCAGGCCCAGTATTCTACATTGTACACTGGCATTTGCCCAGGACAGCAAGAGCTATTGGAAAACCAGTCATCTGTATTTGCTCCAGAACTACTTCATCTGTCTTTAAAATCCAGCTGACTCTAGGATGGACATCCGTAGACCTTGGTTAGCAGTGCTCAGCACTGAGGCCGTGGCGCGAGCAGCAGAACTGAAGCAGGTTCACCCCAGCTGAGGTGTCTGGGTTCCAAGCTGGGTGGTGACCCTAGCCTGTGAGCCGTACGACACCCTTGAAGGGAAATGCTGAAAGATTGAATAGCCCTGTGCAGTCATTGTTATGTTGCTTTTATTATTTATTACATTGTCTTTCAGACCTCAGGTCAACTCATGCGAGAACTGCATTTAACATGTGGGACGGGGATGCAGAATATTTGTTTCCTGTCATTTGTGTAGAGCTTTAGCTTATGAACTGCATATCTGATACAAAGCAAAAGAACATCATCAAAATGACAAGGTTCAAAGCTAACAATTGAGTAATATGAGCAAGGATGCATCTGCTCTTAAAACTTGAACTTCAGCAAACACTCAGTTTGTCAGACTATTTCAGTAAAGCTGAAAGGTTCTCACAGCTGCTTTGAGCTGCTTTGCTAAAGAAATAGGGTTTTTTGGAATGGGGGCAAAGACTTCTAACAGCCAAATTTAGTGGCAACTAATTCAAGTGATGAAAAAAAGAGAAATTAAAATTATGCTTGCAAGTTCTGTAGTTGCAAGGTGAAGATGCTAGTGATGTTAAATGTTGGAATTTATTGTTCATGTCACCTCTTAATTTGTCACTGTGAACACATTTTCTTGGAAACAAGATGTCTGCACTTGCAAGAAGCTTTAAACAATTGATGACACAAGTGTAAAATTTATTAATATTAACTCTGAAAACTCTAGGCTCATTTGGATCCCTGGACCCTTGTTCTGAATCAGTCCTGATCACTGACGGGTTTAATGAAATTGTCTCACTTTTCTTTAAGTGCAATGTGACATTCCACTCAGCTGTTCAGGAAACAAGTTTTACGGGATTGTGCTTTAAGTTGTTGCTTCTCCAGCAGCCCTGTTGCCTCACCGCTGTCTGTTTCTGTTCTCCTTTTCGTTTCCCTCAGGGGCAGGCACACTTTGCCTGCCTTGCTGTTTAGTAAGAAGTCTCTTGCTATTTCTGAATGTTTGAGGAAGTATCTGCCTTAAACATGAATTTTGAGAGGGGCATGAGCAAACTGTCACTGCCTCATCCCCAGTGTTTGGCTTGTGTTACTTCTGCTACATAGAAGATGGAAAATACTAATTTTCCCTGGCTAAGGCTACAAGCTGAGTTCAGCAAGGCCCATATGAAAAGCATTTAAGAGCTATCGCAGTTGCTTCATGTGTTTCGTGTGTGCCACTGTTTCATGTGACAACAACAATTAGCAGATTCTTTCCTTAAAATATACTCTGTGCTTTTGTGGTTTAGAGGTGCTGCAAAGACACTCAAAACAATGGGATTTCATTGAAACTGTGGATTATGAGCACTGTGAATAGAAGAACAAATCATTTTCATACAAAAGGGGCCATTAAAAAGTACTTATTTAATGAAATGAACTTTTATACTCAAATTTTATTCTAGATTTGTAATATGTTTCTATTAGTCTGTATTGGAAGGAACTTGTCCAACATGTTGTGAAGCAGAAAGGAAGCATTTCAGTCTGCCCATTCTAATTTGTCATAGATTTGCTTGAATCCTGCAAAGCTTTGTACTGTAAGGCAAAGTATAAATCGTGCTTATGCATGACATGAGGAGCATCAGCTGTGGCCTGCTGAGTTTGGGAAGAGCAGATCTCTGGGACAACTGGTTACAGTGCACAAATAAAGATGCATGTTACCACAACAGAATTTTAAACCAAAACAAGTCTTCTCTGGACTGTTTTCCTAATCCTGAGCACATTAAAATGGAAGACGGGGCCTTTACTATCTTTGTCAGGAGAATGAAAATCGATCAGCCTGGTTTCCCACTTTTCCCCTGCCTTGTGCCATGTCCTGTTCTTGTGCTGGATCCACGGGCTCTTCCAGTGCTTCTCTCTTGCTCTGCTGCCCAAGCAAACAGCTTGGGTTGCTCAGCCGTGGCCCAGTGTGAGCACAGCGGAGCACTCGGAGTGGCAGGGGGGCAGTGCAGCGTGGGGGGATAAGGAGCAAAGATGTCGTGCTGCCATCTTCTTATCTCTGCTTTTTGTGAAATCGTTATCCTTGTAAGTCCTGACCAGGGTACAGCAAGAAGGTAGAAGGAAGCAGAGCCTACTTCTGTTGCCTGTTCATTAGTTTCAGCTCTTCAACAGCCTCAGTGATCTGCAGCTGGTTGTTGCTTCAGTAATGCCTCGTAGTTTCAGAGAAGAGGAAACCACCAGCTAGCCACAGTAGAGATTTCTGCTCTTGATTGCCATGGAGGGGCGATTGTGATCATCTTGCAGTGTCCTAGGAATGATTTCAGAGTCCCTAGGTCATACTTCCAAGATTTCCTAAGAAAGCTGACCCCCATGCTTCCACATCTCCTTGGAGGCTAGTTGCTGCAGAGATTGAAGGTGTTGCAGATGAAAGGGGTTATACTGTGGGGTCCCTGAAAGTTCCTTGAAAAATGCCAAGGACCAGACCCCTTGAATTTATATATGAGTTGTGTAGAGTGTGAAGAGGTTGGAGCAGCCAGAGAGAATTTGTCGCAGTAACTTTAGGTGGCCAGACGAGCTTTTACCTTTTCAACTACTTCCTCTTCTATAACATTTTGGAATGTAAATAAGATATGGGCACGGCAAGTTTTTTAATATTCATCCACCACCACATTCTCTCTTTTGGCATCACTTTTGTGATGTTCTGGTCCAAATAACTCTGATTTTCCAGCTAAATCAATAGGTCTTGTGAAAGATCATAGCACTCCCTCCCCCCAAAAGAGTTGTGCACTACTTGTGTAATAGATCTTGGAGTCTGTGTCACCAGGTTAGATTAGAGGGCTAGTGCTGGTACAGATGAACGTAGACCCTAATAAAACAAGTAGCACAAAAAAATCACTGGAGAAGTTTGGGAAATGCTGACCTGAATGTCAGAATAACATCTCTGGGAAAAGGGTTGCTTTTTCCAAGCAGGAAGTGGTTTGGAAGAAAGTGGTGTTGCCATGTGAACGGGACATGCAGCATTATCTCCGTGAGCTGCTGTTTAATAGCTTGTGGTTTTCGTACTTTTTATTTGAATGACTATGTTGCAAAAGATTCTTCTTGCACCTCAGTAGGTATTGGAAAATGGGGAACAAACTTGTTCTGCATCTACTAAGTTTTGTTAATTTGCGGGGAATTGCATTTTGGAAAATAGACTATTAAATTTGTAAGACCAAAATCTTTTGTAACTGTCTTATTATTAGTGGATAGACTGCTGTCCATGCACATGGAGGCAAATCAGAGGCTGTAGGAGATTTGAACGACTGTGTATAAAGTAGGCTGTCTGTTTTCCTTCCAGGTCTTTCATCCTTCCTCTCTCTGCTTCTGTGTCTTTTATATTTGTTATTTGATTTTCGTCCCTTCTCCCTTTCTTGTGCTCACATCATGTGGTCTTTTCAGACAAGCATCACAAAAAAGCTGTTTTTTTAGATTAACCGTCTCCACTCTTTTATTGGCACAGAGTTGTGCAGAGCTGAGAGAAGGAGAAACCCGACCTAAGTTCTAGCATTGCTTTGTCTTTTTTTAACAACTGAAATAAAGTGAACAGGACAGTATATCACAGGCGCTGTCTGATGATTTCCATTTCTCTTCCCTGCATACTGAGGCTGTTGAACTTGTCCCTAGCCCCAGCTCGTGGCTCTGATGTGCCTCAGCTCCAGAAGTGTGACTGTCCCTTCCTTGTTGCTGCAGTCCCTTGCTGACACACATCTCTGCGGGCTAAGCCCGCTGCCCCGGGGGCGGACCAGCTGCATCCTGGAGGCACAGGAAACCTTCAGAGGAACCAATGGACCCTGCTGTAGTCTTCTGCTAGTAACAGATCATTAAAGCTGAACGCTTCAACAAAGGGAAGACATTAATTGTCAGGCAAAGCCCAACAGCTTGTAGGGAAAGTCTTTGGTAGTGCCTGCATGCAGCCTGGATGTCTGTGGTGGGGAGTTTGTAAATGTTTACATTCTTTCAGTCTTAATCAGCCACACTGTGTTGATGGGAATCTAGAAATAAAAGAGAGAAATCAAACGATTATCAAACAATTTGATCATAAATCTTCTTTTATCTCTGCAGGCATTTCTTCACCGGATCCGACAGAATGCAGTGGACAAAGCTGAGAAGTACATAACAGAGGAGAATGTAAAGGTATTTCTTCTGTCTTCCTTGATATGAATATCAAATATCCTCTTGTCATATTGATGCTTATTATTAAGCTGATTCCCTAAGGAGAGGAGCTCATGTTGACAGTTTATCTGTCAATCTATTTGCCCATTCTTATAGCTGTCATCTTCCAGTAATTTTTCATCTCACTGGCTAAATTTAGTAAAATTTGACAACAGTGTAGTGTTGTCAGAAATACTAACTTTTGGCAAGATTTGTGAAACGCTGAGTAGAGTACTGAGGGGCCATTTCAATGTCTTTGAGAGGAAAGACAGGGAATCCACAGCCCTTGTCTGTTTTGTTTGACAATATTCAGTTAGCCAATTTGCATCTGCTGTTTTCTGCTAACAGCAGTTTGATAGGGCTTATGAGAAGGAGGCAAGAATTTTCCTTTGTGTTCTTGGGGAATGGAATTTGGGTTTTTGTGGGAGGTCTACATATTGTGAGACCCTTGAAGGAGGAGGTTTCTGAATGAATTTTGCACTGGCAAGTTAAGGGACATAGAGAACTGTGAGGTACAGGCTTCTCTAATGCCTGTGGTCACAGGGGTGCATGTTGTTCATTAATGTCATAAATACACAAAACACTTTCTTGTAGTTATTTGGCTAAAAAGCTCACCTTGTACACATAGGCGCATGAAACCAAACCCCTCTTCATACACAAATGCAAGTGAAACCCACTGGTGAGCGGGACAGAGTGCAGTTTGTTTGCCACGGGATGGTGCTTTCTCCGAATCAGCAGCAGCTTTGCCCTGCAGGCCGTGGGAGCAGGGCAGCCGCAGGAGCTGTGTCACTCCTGCAGTGCTGCAGCCGGCGCGTTTCCCCTGGCTGGCTCCTGTTTCCTGTGCCAGGCTTCCTGCGTGTTCCAGGTGAGCAGGGTTCCAGCCCCACCTTGGCTGTCAGTTCTGCAGGCCAGCAAGGTGTGGTATAGACTGGCCGCCATCAGAAGGGGCTGGCAGCTTGGTGGAGCTCAGTCTTCTGCTGTCTTCAAATCTGGAAATCCCCACTCTCCAAAAACTCACTGTCTAGCAACTGGAGTAAGTTCAGGGGTGGCTGAAGAAAAAGTAGACAAGTGATTAGTGACAGTAGATTTTGTGTACATAGAAGTGTGCAGAAACTAAGCTCTGCATGAAAATAAATTTACACAACTATTTGTTGATGTTGGTGAAAATTATTATTCTATCATTATTCATGTCATCAAAATGAATATTATGACTCCCACATAATCAGATGCAGTGCCTACAATCCTGTACAGCAGAATTTGTACTTGAAGTTTCTCCATACTCCTCTGGGGAAGTACCACTTTATTTTTGTGTCATTCTTGAGATGTCAGAGGGGGATCTTTTTGAGGCCACTGTGAAATCTCATTTATTGCTGTTATTACAATACCCAGTTTTCAATAAGAGCACTTCCCTTCAGTAATAAAAGGCTTTTGTCTCTTTCTGGTGAAACAGAATTACAAGGCACAGTTTTCATGTGTCCATAGTTTCCAGAGTTAATATTGTCTCTTCCTTCCAGCCCCCATCTCCTGCTATACCAAATAATTTGTCTTCCCTGCAGTTGAAAGATACTAGTTTTTTATTTCCCACTCCTTTCTCCCACCTAGCTGGTAAAGCCAGGAAAAGCAAGGTGGTCTTGGGACTTCTGATAATCTGCCTGCTGATATTATGTGTCTTGAGTCACCAGAGAGCTGTGAGATGGCCGACAGTAGAAGAGACTATAAAAGTGGTTTGGCAGCTTATGTAAGGAGAAGCCTGTCTTTACTCTCTTTCTTCACGTGCAGAAACGCCTAGAGGAAAATACAGGGCATTCAGGCAGTCACTCACCTCTGAGCAAAAGGAGAAAGTGGTTTTTAAGATAAGTTGGGTTATTGCCTCCAGTATTATTTTGCAGATTTCTCCTACAGCTGGTGTTAAGCACCAGAGATTTCAGTAGTCTTTAGCTGCTGTAGCCCTCTCCAGAAAGGCCACATTGAGTCCTGTGCCAGGCCCAGATTTTACAAGTGCGCCAGTGACTAACAGCTGCAGCAACATCATAAGAAATTGGTTTGAATTTATTCACTGCCTCATGTGGGAGTAACTCTCCTGACGTGTTACTATATATGCTATGCTCCCAGCATCGCTGCTGTCACTTCACTGATAGAGCAGTTTGGGGGCAGTACAACTTGAGGGTGTGCACAAGGCTGGTAACTGGATTTGGTACAGGAGCATGTGCAGTCAAGGTCTGTCTGCTGCCTTGAATTTCAAGTGACTCTTACCTGCAAATTCTGCTGCAAGCAGAGCTTTACTGATCACCTCAGAATTCATTAGCTTGCACAGATACTCCTTGGATCACAAACCACCCCTGAAGACTGCTCCTGATGGATAAAATCGTCCCTGACAGATGTTTTCTGGCACAGAATGTGAAAGCTTGCTTGACTGCGCTGCAGGTCTTCTGTTTGCAAGTGACATAGTTACAGCAAAGTGATAGAAACATTGTCTGCAACACGTATGTCACTGCAGACTTCAGGATTTACTCTGCCCATTTAGCCTTCCCTCCAGTGGCTGCCAGTACTGATGGCTGTCACCTCACATCAGGACTTCTGCCCCCTCTAGATAGTATTCCATCTCCTACATGTGGATTCACACTTTCTTCTCATATTCTGTATGAAAATGACCAAGATTTATAATGTGTTTATATGTGTTTATAGCATCTTTCACCCTGGCAGTTTATTCCCCTTAGCACACGTATATTCTCATCACAGGGATCATTTAACTGTACCATTACCTTTTAATACAAGGTTGAATGAGGGGCCTCTTCCCCCCTACATGTGCCTTTTGGTGTCACTGAGGTCAGTGAAAGGGAACTCTAAATGCTGCTCTTGAGGTTTGTGAGAAATGTACACGTTTCTGTACTCTGGGCAGCGTAAGGCTGGATTCCATATGGCAGATTTTGTCTCCTGTTTACAGGTACATGCCTGTGTGTGATACCTCCAAGTCCCTTTCTTCCAGAAAGGGATTTCTAATGCATGGGAAGGAAAGGCAAACTACTCCCCGCTTCTGTCTCCTGCAAAATGAGTTTGGCCTTGTGGTTCCATTTTCCTGGCTGTTCTCATAGGAAATATTCTCAAGACTTAAAAGAGGTTGCTTGCATTTATCATGCTCAGGGGTCTGCAAAGATAACCTTAATATACAGCAGGTACTTCAGTAGCAGTAAATATTTTTATAGGAGCTAGGGAAGGGGCAAGTACAGTTTAATTCATTCTTTACAAGTCCCTGTCTGAGCTCTGGATTCTATCATGGTAAGTCTAAAGCTCCACAGTATTTTGGCGTTACTACTTAGCAAAAAACATTGACATATATTAAAAATGAACAATGTTTTTCTCTTATATTTCAGATCTTATTTTCTAACATTGAAGACATTCTTGGTGTTCACAAGGAGTTCCTGGCTGCTCTGGAATTTTGTTTGCAACCAGAACCCCAGTCTCAGCATGAACTGGGAAATGTTTTCTTAAAATTTGTAAGTACAATGACTTAATGCTATCTGAAAATACGGTTTCCTGTCATAAGCTCTCCAGCCCCTTAGCAAGCCCTAATCTCTAAGGCTTGTAGCAGAACTATGACAATGTGTGTCTTGTATGAAAGTTGTAGGTAGGGTGGGAAAAAACTTGTGAATGAAGTTAAAACAATGGACTCCACATCAAACTGAGCTAAACAGCTATGTATTTTTAGAAACTCTTCCCTTTCGTATTGAATTTTTTTTTCCTCACCCATCTGGTCACATTTTATTGCTGAGAATTTGTCTGCTTTTGTTCCAAAAGTTTCACAAAAAAGCAGCACAGTTTCAAGTACCTCAGAAACAGTATTCCTGCAGGTGCTTGCCTGGTGTTGCAGGCAGGGGTGTGTGATGGTCATGCTCCCTGCCCAAGCAGCCCTTGCAGCAGCCTGGCTGTCTGTGCAGCCTTGCAGCAGCCTGGCAGTCCATGCAGCCTTGCAGCAGCCTGGCAGTCCATGCAGCCTTGCAGCAGCCTGGCTGTCCGTGCAGCCTTGCAGCAGCCTGGCTGTCCAGTCCGTGCAGCCTTGCAGCAGCCTGGGGTCATGGGTTGCAGCAGCCGTGCTCGCCGTTTCACCCAGGGAAACTGTGGAGAACATTTCTTTGGTCTTTTGTTTTAGGCAGGGTTCTGTTGTTGCAATATGCTCAGAAGAAGTGCTGGAACTCCCTCAGTGCTGCTTTTTCATTATCATCAAATCACAGTGAGTCCTGTGGGGAGCTTGCAGTGAGGAAGTGACACAAGGCCCCTGAATCTTGAATGTATTGGTGTATCCACTGTTGTGATCACCTGGCAAGGTCATTCCTGGTCCTGGTCACGAGTCCAGTACTTGACAGCAGCTGGATGTTAGCAGAGGTGCTTTTCTTTAGAAACTTAGTGTTAAAAATACTTTAAAAAATCAGGCTTGAGAATTCTTGAAGCACTGTTTTATCCAGACACTGCATTTTTCTAGTGGACCATGTTTTCTCTAAGTTTCTGTGTATCATATATCCTTGTAGCAATCCCCAGATTCACCGTGTGGAGTTCCATCAGACTGCAGTGCTTGGGTCCTCTTCATGAGATTTGTGTATCTTTAATGTCCTCTAGTGTACATAGGCCTGGCTTTTCCTGGTCTGTCTTGGCCTAGAAGAGCTTTACTTGGCAACGATCCACCAGCTTTCAGAAGCAGAACACTGCTTTTATAGAATCATGGAATCATCAAGGTTGGAAAAGACCAGCACCACCACCATGTTCACTATTAAACCTTGTGCTCAAGTGCCACACTGACACCTTTTTTGAATACATAAAGGGATGGTAGTTGTTATGGGCCCAATATTGTCCCAAGGACCTGTATTTCAGGAGGATTCAAGTCTTGAGTAACACCTAAAGCAAGCAAGCAGATTTTGCAAGAATTCCAAAAAAGAAATCAGTGCACATTGTCTTTTTGAGATATTTTAAGAGGTTATGAAATGTGCATGATCTGATATTCAGGTGTGAAAAATTGTTTTCCTTCAGAAGACAGACATTGTCTGCCCTACTGTACTCCATGTGGTTAGGTGGTCAGAAATTCATTGTCTGATGGTAGGTTCTAGAGTTTATTCTGGAGCTGCGGTTCACTGTGACTGTAACAGATGGTACAGAACATCCTTGAATATTCATTCCAAATCCAGTGTACAACCTTAAACAAAAACAGCACGTGGGATGTGTTTCAATGTCAGAGAGGGCACATGCGCTGACCATGGAGTGACCACACGTTGTGAGCAGGGCAGGAAAGGGTGTGACTGTGTGTGGAGCAGAAGGGCAGAGAATCATCTGATCCTTTGTTTCTGATATTGCCATATTGCTAGAGGCTTGGGGATGTAATAGCTGGAATCATGTTCTAGGGAAATGTGTGTTATGCTCATTTTTTGGAGCAATGTTGCATGAGTGATCAGTTTTACTGTCTAAGTCATCGGGGATATTTTGTCATTGAGAATTATGTCTTCTGTTTAGGTTTTTGATATTGACAGGGTTGGTTTCAGCCTGCTTTGAAACAAGGTAATGCCATGCCTTGTTAAAAATATGTTCAAATAAAATGTTGCAGTTTTCCAAAGTCTTATTTGCTTTTTTCTAGTCAAAGCTGTTTTAAAATTGGCATTAATTTGTGGGCAGTACTAATGGATCCAAAATAACATATTTGGAGAATAAACTAATTGTTAAAGACTTATTTTAACCAAACTGAGAACAGTACAGTCTTACTTCTGTCACCAAAACAGAAGGTCTAGCTGTGTATCCAGCAGATTTGCTGAGTAAGAAAGTGCCATTTTTATCTGGTCACATCTCTGACCATAATTGCACTTTAACCCAGAGCAACTGCAGGTTTAGAATTCCTGGGCTAACATCTGTAATTATGTAACTGATAATTTCCTCACCAGGCTATGGGAGAGCCTAGGACTGAGTATCACCCAGAGAGGAAATGAAACACTTCAGACATGGAGTAATTTTAAGCATAGTTCTCATATTTGTGGGTCGACAGCGTGGGGTACAGCTGGGAAAGACTTGAGGAAAGCACTCTGGTGTGTGTATAATTATTGTAGTGTCTTGAGCTTTGGCAAAAGGATTTTGTCATCATCTAAATATAGCCTCCCAAACTCCAGGCACTCAAAGCTGCAGTCAGAAGCCTGAGCAGTGACATTTTGTGTGCACTGATGTAACGGATGATTCTGTGTTAATGGCTGCTGGTTTTAGTGCTTGTGTGCATCCAGGGAGTTGAGGAGACGTGAGTGGAGATGTGGGAAAAACTTCTATGTCTGTTTGACTCTATAACTCTCCTGTTTTTATGTTCACAACAATCCTGTTGCCTTTTCTTCTATTGTGCTGTGGACCCAGGCCTGCCTTTTCCTGCATCTGGTGGTCAGAAACTTTTGTTTCTTTGCAGCTTCCCAGTATTGCACCCCAGTAGCAACATGAACAGCTGCCGATGAAGGATAAAAGTCCTGAACATCTGCATTCCAGCTTTTTGCATCATACCCTTTGTGGCTGTTGTTTTATTTGCTCTGTACCATTGTTCTTGTGTCTGGACATACATCTATTGATTTTCAGTTCTTGCTTTTGAAGTACCAAGAAAGGAAAAATTAATTAAAGCAAGCCCAGAAGCATTTTACGGAACTCTGAACATGTATATCTACCATTGAATATCTGACCAGAATGTCAGATTCTCCTACACTAACATAAATGCAATTTCTTTTCCTTGTGACAATAGCAAAAGGAATACCAGTGACTGCAGCTGGGACATGTAGTCCCATGGTTTCCTGCTAGTAAACTCCTTCAGCTGGCAGTAGTTTTTTGCTGGGATCACTGCAAGCAGTCTTAAAAGTAGCTAAATGCTGAAAGTACTGTCTGCTGACACAGGAAGCTCTAAGAGTGCCAGGACTCCAATCAAAACTCAAAAAAACCCCCCTCCCAAATTCTGGGGAGATTAAAAGGTTCAGATAGAATGTTTTCAGACCAGAATCCTGCTGTGAATGCAACAGCAAACACTGCAAGGCTTGGTGCTCTGAGATGGTCCTTCTGGAAAGCCTCACATATTACTCTGCAGAGTGCCACACTAATGCTTTGAAATTATTTTTTATATGCAAACTAGCTTGTCTCAGTGCCTCCACATGGTGCTGCATTATGGCATAGAAGCTAACCTGAATCAGGAAATAAAGTGCTATCAAGAGAAGCATTCAAAAATGATGGGTTTTTTGGCTTCTGAATCATTAATTTCGCCTAAAGCCTAATACAGTCCTTTTATTCTGGTGAATGCAATACTGGAAGCTCTGAATATAGCTGCTGAAAGTTCAGCCCTTCCTACCAGCTTTGAGAAGATCAACTCGCCCCTTGCCTTGTCTGCTTGGGCATGGAAATAGTTGTTCCTGCTTCTTTTGTGAATCACTTCAGTGTTTCCAGTTATCTAGTGTTTGCAATGGGTTCAGCATCTCTGATCATTTTTGATAGAAGGCGTTGCACTGTCTTTGAATCTGAAGATCAGCAGAGCAGAACTTGCTGACCCTGACCTGCCAGCTGACCTTCATTTCTTTACAGGGGATTTCATTCCAGCTTGTGCTGCTGGGTGTGACATGTCACAGTGTTAGTAGCTCAATCTAGTTGTGAAGCTACCCTTCCCTTTCTTTAGTATATGTAATATGTTGGTTATTTGGTGTGTATTTGGTGAAATTCTTCTAGTTACAGAAACTATTATATATATCTGTTAGGTTTTGTCTGCTGCTTGTTTCAGGGCACAAAGTAAACCAGCCAACCTACTGGGGCCTGGCTCTCACCCCTTGGAAGGCAGAGGATTTCCAGCTGACTGCTTTGTGTTATAGTTCCCCTCCAGGTCTCAGCTTCTTGCAGGCCTTGGCTCTTCCCAGCCACCTGGCTTTCTTCCTCCTGCAGGAGTGGTGAGCCTCCTTGCTCCTGGCTTTGTTTTGCTTCTGGCTACTTTCATGGCATATCCTGACACAACACATGCAAGTATTTCCAAGATAGCAAAATCCCTCCTTTCAGGAAAGAATACCTATGACCTCAGTGAAGCATTAAGAGGAAAAATGCTGAAAGTCTCAGTGCTCAGAAAAGTCTCTGTTAACTTACACCAGAGTAAGTCAGGAATTAGTGAGCACCTATATGCATTGCTCACATTACAAGTGTCACATACTTCCTGAAAAATCCAATGCTAATGCCACCTCCCTTTATAAAGAATTTGGTAGCAGACTGTGGCAAAATAATCTCTCCAGTGGTGTCTGAGTCAATAAGTTACTTTGTTTTTCCTTGCAGAAAGACAAATTCTTTGTGTACGAGGAGTACTGTAGCAACCACGAGAAAGCACTCAGACTGCTGATGGAATTGAACAAGATCCCCGCAGTGAGAACATTCCTTCTGGTAAGCACCTTCTCTAGCACTCTTGACTGGATGATCTGACTTTGCCCTGTGCTCATAATAACTGTTTGGTATCCCAGGAATGTTGGGCATTTTGCAGGTATTACCCATTGCAGGTATGGAGCACTCAGGGTGGAGGGGTACTGAAATCACAGATGAGTTGAGGCACAGAACTGAGCACTACCAGCAGGAGTGATAGCAATGGAAACAAGGAAGATTTTCTTTTTGAAAAATCATCAGAAAAAAACAAGCACAGATGATAAAAGGAGTAATGCAATAAGTCAGCAACAAGACTGAGGCTAGTTCCCATTGGATTTGATTCCCTGCTCAGTTCTCTGACCAACTCACCATTTGCAGGCTCATGAGAAAAATGTGACCTGCTTCTGACACCCTTTTCTCCATGAGTCCAGTTGTGGGCAAGAAATGTAGTCTGGATGAATTGTTTTGAGTGCATCATTGCTGCTGAAATCAAAAATAACCTAACTCACATCCAAGGAGAGACTGTGGCCATACAGCCTTCAAACATGCCTTAGAGGCTGGGCTGGAAGGAGAAACAGTCAGTGGGCACTGCCTTCTACCACTGCATTCCTTACTTTTCTTTCCTTTCTTGGTTGTTTCTCCTCCTTACTTTCACCCCAATTCTGACTGATTTTTCAATGTCTTGTTTTCTTGACCATGATGGATGAGTGCCATTTGTAACAGGGTTGGCACATAGGTAAGGGAATAATACATCACATCAGCTTTTTTCCTTGTAAATTCTCTGAAGTGAAATAAAGACTGTCTTTCTTGCAAAGGACCTGCTTTTCTTTCTGCTCTTTTTTTTTTTTTTTGATTGCTGTGAAAGTTATGTTCTTTCCCAGTGTAGTACAGCAAAAGAAAACTTCCATATATACACCAGTCACAAGCAGGGCCAGAGCATTCCTTTAGCCACAAGATACAGACCTCAGAGGGAGCCTACCATCGTGCTGTTGTGTAGGCAGAGTATCTTTGTCGTGTCTGAGTTTTAATGAACTTTATCAAACCATTACTTTGAATTATTAAATGACCCTTACCTTGTTCATGAGGTTTTTTTGGGTGCTTCTGCTGAGGGAAACCAATGAGAAAGATGAGGGAAGGTGTATGTAAACCCAGTCCTTCCCAGCCTTCAGAATGTTCTCCACTTCCACTGGATTGACAAAGTTTTGTTTGTGTTAGAGACAGCAGCCGGCACACTGATTATGAGGGACAACAAAGATGTCACACTGTCTGCTGTGGCTTGCTGCTGCACCTGAATCCAAGAGGCTATTAGAATTGCAGTAGATATGGGAAGAAGGGCTGCAATGGTGTGTCTGTTTAGCTGTGGTGCTGTAGTTTCTTCCAGGCCTCCCTTTCCTTCTCTGCCTCCCAAACCAGTGCTACGATGCTACTATGTGGAGAAGGCAGCACTAAAGTACAAAGCTTTACTTGTGAGGATAGATTTTGCCTGATTGCCCCCTCACAGCTGCTGAAACATAGAATGTGAGAATGTGTTTGAAAAGTCAGTAAGTGTTAAAGGGCAGTTTTGAGCCCAGAGCTAGAGAGAGGGCTGAAAGAAGAGATGGCAATGGCTGAATCACTTGAGACTTGGAAATTGGACAGGGACCATTGTGAGCTGGGTAGCCAGTGCCACAGATCTAGAATAGCCTGGGGACAGATTATTGTACAGACAATTGTCTATAAAAATACCAGTTAGGACTAAGGAGATTTAATGTATGATGTCTGTGAACATTCCTTGAAGAGAAGAATTGAAGAGCTACAACCAAAAAGCTCAGTAAATTTCAGAGTGTGTCTGAGCCACAGCACGTATTTCATAGGGGAAAGCACTACTGGTGATGCCCCAAAGCAGGCACTTCTTGGCTGAACTGCATTTAGAGTTCAACTTCTGTGTGGACAGGACAGGTTTGCAACTGGATTAACTTCTGGAGCAAAGTCCATATTCATGGTTGATCATAGGAATCAGGACATATTTAATCTGAAATAGACTTGAAGTCCACCTGAAGCTCCTACCTGTCTCTTGGCAGCAATAGTAGAATCATCAGGAAATGTGTAAAAAGCTCACAGTAGGCCAGTATTGATTTGTCACAAAGATTACAGATTATTGTTACAAATTGAGGAGATCAAGGACTATAAGGGTTGTTTTTTTCCTGGTGTCATCCCCTGTTCTTAAATTCCCTTTCTATATGAATCCTGAGAAATTAATTTCCATAATCTGTTGAGAAGTTCCATGTGTGCTGGTTAGCCAGCCACTGTGCCCAGGCTGTTTGTCCAGCTGTGCTCAGGCATAATGTTTTGCCAGAGAATTGGTGAATGTTATGCAGATGACTAATTTGTTTCAATTCCAGTTCAGTTCAGACATAAGAATTGGACTAAAGTTAATTACATGATTACAAGTTAGTAGGCTTTATTTTAACCTTCAAGAGTTTCCTGGACCGACAGTATACAAATTTACATAGTGAACAAAGACAATGGGTCATATCTGTTGTGAGGGTAAATTGGATTATTTTAGGTAATGGTCCATCTAGGTTTGCCGTTTGCCATTGTATTGTTAGGATAGTTTTTGAGTCACCAGCTACATACTATTTCTCTGAGAAGATACCATTCTGCACAGCCATTGTTATCCACAGCAGATTTTCTTTTGCTGATGCCTGCAGAACTTTGCTGTATGTCAAACTTGATGGCTGTGTGGTGAATGAAATGCCATTTCCTGTACCTTAGGTGTGGTAAAGCGCTTTCTCAACATAAAGCCTATTTTAGAAATACAAAATTGTGTCAAGAAAATCTGAAAGCTTTGTGTCTGAGGTAACATTTGTTTCTTTTTTTGATTATAGGGTTGCATGCTCTTGGGAGGCAGAAAGACAACAGACATTCCACTAGAGGGTTATCTGCTGACTCCAATTCAGAGAATTTGCAAATATCCTCTTCTGCTCAAGGTAAACCTGAAGAAGTATTTCTCCAGATGATTGTTTTATTCTTGGAGTGATTCTGCATATTTTTAACCCTGACTTTTGTTGCCACTATTGCTTTCCTGGTCTGCACTTCTGAAAGTTGGATCTTCTCTGAAGAAAATGGCTTTTTATGGGTACAGGCAAAAAGCCTCCTGATGCTGGCAGGCTGCTGAATCCTGTTGTGGTCTGGGTAGAGCAGACAGGGTGACTTACTGACTAACCAAAGCCTTTTGACTTCACTGCTCTTCAGATGTTTATTAAGGCTTGTGCAGGCTGTTTCAGCCACTTCCTGTAAAACTGTGTTCAGCTAGAATTGTGCTTGTGTTGTGAGGGACTGGATGGCTCTGGGGACTATTAAAGGGATATGTTTTTCATTACAAGATCTCTAGTTGGATGGTGAGTAGGTCAGTAATGATCAAAATCCTGTATCTTCTGACAGCTGTTTGGCAGCTTTGGTTGTCTCCGATGACTTCCCAGTGCAGGGGTGTCAATCCAGAAACGACTGTGGTATGTGGCACTAATTGGCCCCCTTGCTGATATTCTTAGCATAGAAGATAAAGCATAAAGGACCTGAAAAGAGCTGACTTGCCTCTCATCCTTCCTGGTGAGGGCTGGGTCACCTGCCTGGTGGGGACAAGAAGAGGGAAAAGGAGAAAGCAGTTTCTGAGAGAGCTTGCATCCCCCGGTGGCCTGGTAGATACTCTCTTGCTAACAGCCATCTATCTTCCATGATGTCAGTCTCTTCCTCAGCTAGAGCCACACTGTGTTTACTAAAAGAAAAGTAATTTAAAAAAAATTACAAATACTTTCCCTCATATTTTGAAAGAAAGGTCTCTTTATGAGTTCTGGAAGAAAGTAGGAGTTCTGTGATGAATGTATGTCAAAACTCCTGGTGACCAAACATCCTTTCTTTGAAAACCAAAGCCAGTACCACCAAGATGAAGACTGAAACAGAGTTTCTTGCTTTCTAGACACAGTGGGGTAAGATGAATTTGCCTTCCCTGTGCCTACCCTTGGCTCTGGGGCAGCTGACCCAGATCCACGTGTCCCTGTTGAACAAATAACCTTGCAGGGAGGGCCATGACTGGGCATCTTGTGAGGCTGCATTCCATTTTGCTACGGATTTCTTCTTGTATACAGGCTGATAAAGATCACACAGTAGTTGAAACTTCCTGTACAGGAAATAAAAGTTTAAAGAAAAAGCAAAGAGGAATTAGGTTTTCAGTAGGCAACAAATCTGCCTCAGTTAGTGAAATAATACCACAACACTAGGAGTTGTTCAGCTCAGAAAATATCAGTGACCGTTATAAAGCGTGGTTGATTCTGGTTCTCAAAGGTGGTGAATTCATAGCGAATAAGTTATGTCCCATTCAAGACTTGATAGTTGCTAGCATGAAATTACCAGACCATACACAAATGTCTCAGACATGAGAACACTTAAGGGAAAACACAGCCAGATTCTGTTTGTGCTGACCAGGAAAATGGAGCTCTCCAAGCAAGGGAAAAAAGTGATAGATTTAAAAATAGCACAACCTTCAAATTAAGTATTTGTTCTCCCTTTGCTACTGAACTTCAGTTACGGCTCCTGAAATAGCTCTTTTGTATTCATGGGGACTGGATCTTACTTTATCTAATTCCCAGGGCAAACAGATACTATTGTATTCCAGTTGATGAGAAAAGTCTTAGACCAAAGCTAGCCTACTTTCCTCTTTTACTTTGTTTTCAGCAAGAGTTTGTGAACATCTAGATTATCTGGTAACTTTGATAACTATGTCTAATGTAAGTATTTAGTGCAGCCAAGTAGGTGGGTTTGATAAAGCTAGTATGCACAAGGTAATTCAGATTTGTTTGTGTTTGAAAGTAAACTGAAGTAGTAAGGTAAGGCACATATTTTAAATACTGTAACTACTTTTTGCTAATAACATATGTGTGTGTGTTCTTCTTCAGAACAATAGAATCTGGCATGGAGTTGATTTGAGTTACTTAATTAGGAATAATGCACTAGAACATCTCCAAGTGCTGATCCACTGTAAGCATTGCAGTAATTTCCAATGAAATATGGCATCCTTCAACAGGATGACCTTATGTTTTCTCATGCTCTGATGAAGCTGTTTGGGTTTCTTTAACTAACAAATGATGGAGACAGAACAATGATTCAAATGATGGTGGCCAATACATTTCAATTTTATTTATAGTTTCCCAGTTTTTGTGACACAAACATTGCAGTTTTGAAGTGCCTGACAGGTTTTGGATGGGTTTTTCAGTTTGGGGATTTTCTGTGGGAGGAAGGGGGAGAGGGTGGGATGTTTTTTTTTGGGTGGGGTTTATTGGGGTTTTTTTGGTCGGGGTTGGGGGGGTTGGGTTTTATAATTTTTGTTGCTTTTTCTCTGTCTAATTTGCAAGCCTTTGGTGTGATTTGAAGAATGAGACTCAAACTTAGCTATGGCATTTTGTAATCTCTGCACAAATAGAGAAATAATATTAGTATTTTTGCCCCAATGCAGTTCTTGTCTGCTTCAGACAACATACAAAAAAATTAGTGTAGAATTTGTGAGTCAGTAAATTAGTTCCTTATAACTGAGAAAGGGGCTTGGACTAGGCTCAAGGAAAATGAAACTGTTGGCTGTGATGGGCATTGGTTTTTGGGAAGAAGGAAGGTAGCAGAGATAAAGAGACACCCAGCACAAGTGGGTGGCTGGAGAACTTGCTGAGCAGATGCTTCCAGCGTGGGGCTTTGGGTGAAGGCTGCTCTGCTAATTGTGGGACTCTATTAACCAGTCTCAACTCTGCTGCTTAAGAGTAGAAGCAGCTGTTGTGCAAACCACTCTCTGAACAAAAATAGTATTTTCCCCTTAATAAAGAGCATTTCTGTCAGCAAGAAGCAAACCCTGGGGCAGTGGTAATCATGAGTTAATCACACCATGGTGTGGGGATTAGGCACAGTCACTCGTGTCTCCTTCCTCTGGCACAGGAGGAACGTGCAGCACATGACAGCCACACCCCGCTGCTCCCGAGAGCCTAGAGCCCCAGGGCTTGGACCTTGCCTGAGGTCTGGTCAGTTGATGATTTGCTCAGACTCCAGCCAGAAATGCACATTCCACCTCTGATCCTTTAAGAACATCTGAGGGTGTACAAGTCCATGGGCGATTAGGGGAGTAATTATGTATTGCTTCCTGCGGAGAAGAGTTTTTCTGGCCCTGGGAGGGGCAGTGTGCAGAGAGGAGTCACCAGAGTGAGAATCCCCTGGAAAGGAAAGCTGAGCAGTGAGGCACACACAGGCCTTCATCAATCCCTGCCTGCACTTGGGAAAGGAAAGATGGGAAGCCACTGGTGTGAATACAGAACAGGATGAAGGAAGCTTACCTTACTGCCTCCCTCATCTCTCCATTCCTCTTGTAGCTGTTCAAGAAACAGAACCTTCTATTTGGCTGTAATTGAATATATTTGTCTTTGGAGGATTGGCTTTTTCTCTCCCCCTTCCCGCCTCCAAGAAAAGTTGTGTTGCTCTTAGATTCATGACATTGTGTGGTTGAAATCCAACTCTATGTAGCATAATATTAAAAATTGTCTATTCCCTAAAGAGCTCTAAGAAGCACTGCCAATTTATAAATCATGTTTTTGTCTTCCACACATATATATAATCACAAATAACTGCTGATATTTATAAAACCAGAAACATGTTTTTATTGCATTTTAAATTAGCATATGTTGTAGGTTCAGTGGCATATTGAAGCTAATCTATTTTATCTGATCCACCATCACTTGTAGAGTGTTTACCCAGCAGAGACATTGACATAAATTACAAGTTTTAACAATATGCAGAATAAAAAAAACTATTGTGATTTGCAGGTACACAGAGGAAGTCTGATGTATCATTTATTTTCTGGTTAGTACAGGCAGATATTACAAACTGTAAAATACAAGTATAAAACTCCCAGGAACATATATGTTTACAGAAAGGTGGTTTGGGTTTTTTTGCCTTTTTTTTTTTTTCCTTTTTCAAGCACATTTGGAGCTGAACTGTTGATTAACTTAACTTTTTGAACTGATAAACAAAGGAGTGTGTTGTCTTTTGTTATCTCTGTGAAGCTGTAGGGCCACAGCTCTGAAGCACGGTGGGGCATGCCGGGAGCTGTGGCGCCGAGCAGGGCAGCTGGGCAGCAGGGATCTGCACCAGTCAGTGCAGTGTCAGCAAAGTCCACGTTAGGCCATGTCTGAGTGTCCTCAGGGGAATAAAGGTAGGAGCAAGGAATTTCTGAAATAAAGGAATGTGTAACTTTCAGCTGTGAAGTGTATTTGCTGTCGGTTTGAAGTACACAGTCAATATTGTGCGATGAGCAAGGACATGGGAAGGATGTCAAAGACTATTTAAAAAAAAAACAAAGAAAGAAAAGTGTCTTTTATGAATTATTTTAAGAAACTCTTGGCAAGAAGTAGTTCTCTACAACTGGTAGCAGCCTTGTTTCCTGACCCTATTAGCACACAAGTTGCAGTACAGGAGATAGCAATTCCAGACAGCAGTGTCTGTGGGCTTTGTGGAGGACAAGGCTTACCCAGGTATTGACATCTGGGCTGTCTTTCAGCTGCCTTTCAAAATGTTGTCAAGTGCTTTTAGAGTTTACACATCATAAATGTGTCACTAAAAGAAATAAATACCCAGAGCTCTCTCCCTGTGTTTCCAAAGTGCTGAGCTCTGCTCTTTTGAGAAATGGCAGTGTCAGGGTAGCACTGCGTTGCCTTGGATGGCTTCAGACAGGGCTGTGGAGGGGCAGTGCCAGTCCCAGCCAGACCCTCCCTGCTGCTCCCAGGGTGTGACTGCCATGGGGAAGGTGCTGTTTGGTGCTGCAGGGCGTGCTGTAACTGAAGAGGTCTTTCTCTGTGTTTTGGGGATATTTCTGAATGGGATGTTTAGACAGTGCTAGTGTGTACATACCTGTTCCCAGGGCAGTATGGGTGACACTGGAGCTGCAGAACTTCACTGATTTTTAGCGAGAGTAATCTGTGTTGCAATCACAGAGGCTAGTGTCACCAAAGCATAACACCTATCTCCTGCCTTTGCTTTTTGAACATTTACTTTTCTTGGTGTCACTTTCAGCAAAAGTAAAGATTTCCACGGGGAATTTCATTTTGATATCAACTGACATTTGCAGCAGCGAGCCTCCTTTTCCTGTGCATCTGTTACTCTGTAAATCACAGATGGGTGGAAGCAGTCTAGCCCCATTCAGATCACAGTACTGGGCAGACTCTCTGGCTGTATCCAAATTCATTCTTGTGTCTCTTGCAAAATGATGCAATTCAGCAGCACAGGACTTTTAAACAACCACATAACATACTGGGGAGGAAGATAGTGAGAAAGTTTTCAGTCTTAAACCCCATATTATGTATCAAGGTTAAATTACCAGCCATATTTTAGATTTCTTTAAGGTATTCTTATTCATTTGTGGCTGACTATGAAATACTATTGGTCTAAAAAAAGGATTAATTGTGAGTTGACAGTTGCCCCTTTTGCCAAACTCATTAATATTGTCAGGTTCTGAGTTTTGCCTCTGCTGTTTTTCAGTGGACAGGACTTAACTGGGCTGTTGTGCTTTGACACAAGTGAAGCAGAGACTCCTTCAGAGCAGAGGTGTTGTTTGTCTTGATGTCAGGACACATGCCTCAGCCTTCTAAACATACAAAGTAAAATCTGACACAAATCTGACACAGCAAAACATACTTGTCTTGAGCTCTCTTAATGTAGCATATTTAACAAGCAATTGCCTCATTTATTTAAGAGCACTCATATTAACCCTGTGCACATGAAGAATAGAGAATAGCATCTGCAGTAAAATGCCCCCAAATTCTCTTTAGTTTTGCAGTGTTTCTGGCATTTTCCTGTGGGGTTGCTTGCTAATGCTCATACCTTTTCATGAACCACTTCTCAGTTTCCATGTTTTCTCTTTTTTTTTAATAGGAATTAGCTAAGAGGACTCCCTCTAAGCATCCTGATCACCCAGCTGTCCAGAATGCACTGCAGGCAATGAAGACAGTCTGTACAAATATCAACGAGACCAAGAGACAGATGGAGAAACTGGAAGCCCTTGAACAGTTGCAGTCCCACATTGAAGGATGGGAGGTAGGATGCTGGACCAGCAAGCTCCCTGGAGGCTATTAACTGCACAGTTTAACGACTCATGTTGTGTACAGGGATTTATTTTGGTTTCTTTTGTGACATGTAAACACTCTTGAAGGTGTGGGCAGCATCACTCAGAGGAATTTAGAATTTCATGTGTATTTTGTGTGTGCAGGCTGGTGCTGAATTGTAGCAGAACAAGCAGATTATGAAAGAAAGGAAGGTGTTAGAGCTAGAATGGAGTTGACATTTCTAATGGGCAGATCTCACTTGAAAGGCAAATAGATGTGGGTGAAATCCTTATGAGTGCATCAGTTATTTCACAGTTTAATGGCAGATAAAATAAGGGCTTGTTAGTAAAAGACCTTCATTGTGCACTCATAAAGGAAAGTTAATTTCTCCTTTTTGTGTTTCAGGGGTCAAATCTGACAGATATTTGCACACAGCTCTTGATGCAAGGGACTTTGTTAAAAATCTCAGCAGGAAACATCCAGGAGAGAATGTTCTTTCTATTTGATAATCTCCTGGTCTATTGCAAGAGGAAATCCAGGTGAGTCCCTCTGTATTTTCAGTTTTACCATTCAGAAGATTGTAGGTGGAAGCTGTGATCAATTACTGATCATTCACTGTATTCTCTGTTGCTCTGTAGGGCTGAGTCACAGGCAGAAATTTCCTCTGTTCTTGACTATTTCTATTACTTAGGCAACAGGGGAGAGAAGTCACTAAGTGGTAGGATAAATTTCCAGGCAGTATCGGAGTGCCCCTCTGAGAAGTGTGCAGTCCAAAGAGGAGTTAAAACAGTGCAGCTAAAGCTCAGGGTGAGTTCTTACAGACAAAAAGCTTCCGAGGGCAGCTGCGTCTTCAGGAATTATGTGAAGGTGCCAATTTAAATTGCGAAGTTATGCTAAGCATAAGAGGGTGATGTGAAAAATGATAAAAAGCCAAGACGGGGGAAAGTGGACGACTAAGCAAACATAAAATAGGTGCAGGGCCCAGGGGAGTGAGAAGGAGATGAACATTTGGCTGTTGCTGTCAGCATTTACAGCCCATGTGCTCTGTTTGTTGTCTTCCTTTCTTATCCTGGTATTTTTTTGCATCATCCCACCTGATAAACCTGAAGTATTAGTAACATCTGCTGCTTGTAATTAAAGTAGCGTTGGCAGAGTGGAAGGCCACTTCTGTGGCAGTTATATGGTATTTCAGTTCCTGAGCTTCTCACCTTCACAGCCTCAGTCTCATTCTCATGTCTTGGTCTGTTCTGAATTTACAATGCATTTTTGCACTCCCTTCTCCTCTACATCCCTTCCCTGTAATACAATCCCCCTGCTTCAAGTTATACTTCCTTACTGGTGATGGCCAAATGGAACGGCCAACTCAATCAGAAATTCTGTAAAATCAGTATTCTCTCCAAAGAAAATTTGCATTTATCAAAATTTGGGTGGTTTTCTCCTTTTTTTTTTTTTTCCCTCAGGGTAACGGTGGAATTTTTGGAAACATTAAGCTGTGAAAGCTAATTTCAGTAATGTTCAGACTTTTTTGTGTGCATAATGCTGAATTTATACAATGAAATAAAAATTATTAGGAGACACCTGCATTCAAAATGAGATATAGATGTTTAAATTAAAAAAAAATTATACCATTAAATCTAAAAGACTTAAGATGTTATCTCCCTGAAGCATTTTGACTCTGAAATGACATAAGGAGAGGAAACAGTTCACTTGGACCCTTTACCAGATTTACAAAGTCAAAAATTCTGTCTGAAACAGAGTTCAGAAATTTGTATGTTTTTTAAGAGAAACTGTTCCTTAAAAAAACCCCAGTTAATTTGATACTAATCTTCTGCTCCTTCAGAGCTCTTAGAAACTGTTTTTCTAGCCTGTTTGTAGTTGAGGTTAGCCCAACTCCAGCGCTGCCCAGACAGTTTTCCTGGAACACTTAAGATTTTGAAAACAAAATGTTCTAGTGCCCTTTAAGCAGAACTTTCTTTTTATACAGGAGACATTACCAAGCTCCTCTGTAGTTTGGCTTGATTTTGGAGGAGCCTGCTTTAACACTTGGATTTCTCAAGGGATTGGTATTGTTTATCTTTGTCTGACAATGTAACTCAAACTAATGGGATGTTGAGGATCTGATTTCCACTAAAAAGTATAATATTTCATTAAGTCTTCTGGGAGTTGCCTAATGTACAACATATATTTTGATCACTAAGCTACTTTAATTTTGGATATTTCTGCTGTCTCACTGCGATTTATAATTAGTCTAGAATGGAAATCAATGTCTTTTCCTTTGTGTTGGTGTGTCCATTTGGCCAGCTGCTCTCAAACTGACATGTTTGTGGGACACATCTTAAAAAAACTGAAACCCCATTAAGAAACTGTCTCTGTCTGTTCCTAATTTGAGATTAAATTACTTCGTTTTCATCTCATTATGTTATGCTAACTTGCAGAAATCAGTGGAGTAATTGATTTATAAATGCAGTCAGAATTCAGGGCTCAGTCTTTGATAAGTAGTCAACAATGCAGCATTCCAATCTGGACATCAATTTTTTTCACAGTAACATAAATTAGGAGTAGGATTGTCACACCAGTGTAAGATGTGTTTAGAATCAAAAGTAGATCTGTCATTTTAGCTCTGCAATAGCTCCTTCTGCAGAAGTGTAGGGAAGTCTGTCAAAATGATGACATAGATTTTCAGAGCTGAGTATTGTTTTTTGGTTTTAGCAGGATTGAATCCTGATGTCAGGAGCAATATGTTTCATGTAAGGAAATAGGCTGAACAGTTAAAGGGTTTCCCTAGGGCTGCCAGAACAGGTTTTCTTTTGACTTGAGGAGTTGTCTTTAGGAAAGATCACATTCCCTGTCAGTCTGATTGGATGTAAATATGCGGTCATCACCAAATGTCTATTTGTTACTAAAGGTAGTTGTAAAAGAAAGAAAATGTTCAGAAAAAATTGGTTGATTCTCATCTCACCTGAGTTTATTATAGGTACTTCACTCTGACAAGAAATTTTTTCCCCAGCTGATTTTTACTGCAATATTTTTTGAATCTTACGTACGAGGTACTGGCAAATTGCCACAGCAGAACCTTCACTGACTGGAATTTGGACACCTGCTGCCTCTTAATGACCATTTGACCAGTTGTGTTTTGGCTTGCATAGCAAGGTTATTCTTGGATAGTAAAGCACAACAGGTGTCACTTGGATAGTTTTAAACCCATTTTAGCCATAAAAATCAGAACATAACTAGTAATGAAAAGTGCTTTCCTGCATTCAACAGAGACACTATAAAACTTATGGATAAGGATGTAAACTTGGGTGCAAAATTGCCCCAGCAGAATTTTCCCTACAACATGTAACACATGTGGCAGGCCTCTGACACTGGCCTCTTTATGTAGTTCATTTCATATCTGAAATTTTTGCATACCACAAAATGATCACAGCTTTCGGCAAACACAGGAGTCAAACGTAACGTTGTCGGGTGGTGCTGCAGTTGTCATCCCGAGGCCATGTGCTGTTCATGGACATTATTTCAGTCAGTCATCAAGAATGTAAATCTTGAAGCCACCTGTATCTTCACATAATCTGGCAAAACAAGCTTGTTATTGCTATACTAACACTGGTACACACCTATCTTGGAAATCTGAATTAGTATTCCAATTATTAAACATCAGAGGTGTGGTCAAATACCACCAGTCTCTATATTGGAATCGTCCTTTAATAGTCATATCTCAGATTAAGCTATTGATATATATGTTAGACTGTTTGCTTATGTGTTGTAACAGTCTTCACTATAATTGCAGAGTTACTGGGAAGAAGGCATCTAGAAGGACAAAGTCAATCAATGGGTCCCTTTATATCTTCAGGGGCCGAATAAATACAGAAGTCATGGAAGTAGAGAATGTGGAAGATGGAACAGGTAAGTGACTAAATATTGTCTTTTAAAAACACAGCAAGTTCAGGTCTTGTGTTGGAAGGTGGTGCAGAAGTACTTGTCCATCTCCTTTAGTGAAATCTGAAGCAATTTATGAAACTTGTTGCACCTTCATTATTGGAGCAACTTATGTGGTTGAAAGACTGGAAATGCTTTCAGGTACTAGTCCTTCCTTCTGAAATGACCTTATTAAGAGTATTCCCAGAAGCTTGTCTATTTTTGGTCCTAATCCAAGTTAATTTAATAAAAGTTACTTTTGTCTTCTTTCTATCCTTTTTTTTTTTTTACATCTTAAGCCACTACAGCTAAAACAACAGAATTTTTGGATCTTCCTCTCATTTAGAATGCTACTAAATACTAGTCTTAGTATCCAAATTAGTAGTATGGAATGTGACCCTGAGCAAAATACAGGAATGGCAGTTCAGTTATGATTCTTGTATCCTGACACAGCCAGGAATACCAAGTGGAATTCTGATTCCATTCATAAAGGTCACACCACCACTGCCCCTATTGTAATAAGCCAGGAATTAGTATTATGTCCTTTAAACAGTTGTCACATAAAGGGTTTCCATGTTGTAGGGTCAGAAATCCTTACAGTGCAGGAAGGTAGCGTGTCCCCAGAAAATTCAGAACAAATACCCTGAACAAACATCATAGTCTCTTCCACTGATGGCCTTGTATTTAAAAGACTTTAGTTCTTCTTCTGAGGTGGAATCAGCAAGTGTCCCTCTTAGGACTGAAGCATTCAGGCAGTTTGAACAGTCTGTTGATACTTGTACTTCCAGAGTGGTAAGTACAGCTGGTTCCATGGGCAGTTGGTAAGGAACACCTCAGGAATCGAGGTCTTCAAAGAACATGATTGTACTGAGAGTGTCCCACACTGGTTTGGTTAAAGGAACAGGCTTCCTGCTCACGGTGTGCTTTGTGCTTGGGTCTTTTGCAGCAGATTACCACAGCAACGGCTACACGGTGACAAATGGCTGGAAGATTCACAACACAGCCAAAAACAAGTGGTTTGTCTGTATGGCCAAGACTGCTGAGGATAAACAGAAGTGGCTGGATGCTATAATCAAGGAAAGGGAGCAGAGAGAGAGTAAGTGGATGATGTGTTTTGTACTGCACTGTTTTGTCCTACAAGATCATTGAACTTGTAGGACAAATGTATATGCACATACATGTATTTGAGAGAAAGAGAAAAGGTTGTACATTTTCCTCCACGGAGAAAATGAAAATCTGTCCTTAATGTTTTCCAAAAGCTAGGAAACAGCTCTGAGGTCTCAGGAGGTTCTTGATTCATTGCAGTATCTTACCATAAAGCAGTTAGGATGAACTTCTCTTCCCAAAAAATGCAGTTCACCTTTTCTCTGGCTTTACACCGATCACTTAAATTCTGCCTTATGTTGATCTCTGCTAAAATTAGGCATGGAAGTACAGGACCACTTCAGGCTGTTCTCAAGCTAGTCTTGGAGGTGTCTAAAATCTGTGTCTCTTTTGTACTGCAGAGTTGCCCAGATGTGCAAGTTCTAGAGTAACGTATCCAGAAAATGATGTATTCAGGCTAAAGGACATAAAGCACTTACAGCACGAAAACAGCTTTTGCAAATGCTGTCCTCCTAAAGCAGTTTGCAAATCTAAAGAGAACAGGGCCAGAAAATGCCAGCTATGAGGATAGTTATAACAGAGGCACCTGCTGTTTTCAGAGACCATCCCTCTGCCTGTAGCAATTTTCAAGTTAGCCTGAAATATGTACTTGAGAACTTGTATAAAGTGAACATGAAATGTTCTTTATATTCACTTACCAGTCATTCTGTAAGTCATGCAGTATTTCTGTCATTTACTGGATAATATGATTGTCAAACACTATTTTTAGCTTACGGTATTAGTAAATAGGCTATTTAATAAAGGATGAGAAAATAACGTGCCAGTTTTGATTTATTCACGAATGTGAAATTGATTTCGTAAGTTTTGTATTTTTGGCTTCAAATAATAGGACATTCAGAAAGTCTCCTGCTCTTCCAAGCATTTAAATGCCTTTAACAAGTCTTATGCTTGAAGTTATTTTCAGGTTCACAAGTGAAATTGCCACAAGAAATCAGTTTCAGAAGGTTGAGAATCACAGAATCATTGGGCGGTTTGGGCTGGAAGCAGCCCTAAAGGCCATTTAAGGCCATGGATGGGGACACCTTCTGCTATCCAGGGTTGCTCCAAGCCCCATCCAACCTGGCCTTGGACACTTTCAGGGCTGGGGCAGCCATAGCTTCACTGGGCACCCTGTGCCAGGGTCCACCCACCCTCCCAGGGAATTCCGGCCCAATATCCCGTCCATCCCTGCCCTCTGGCAGTGGGAAGCCATTCTGTTTTCTGTCTGTCTATTCCTTGTCCCCAGTCTGTCTCCAGCTCTCCTGGAGCCCCTTTAAGCCCTGGAAGGGGCTCTGAGGTCTCTCTGGAACCTTCCCTTCTCAAGGTGAGCCTGGCCCCAGAGCAGAGGGGCTCCAGCCCTGGGAGCAGCTCTGGGGCCTCCTCTGGACTTCTCCTGCAGCTCCAGATCCTTCTTGTGTTGGGGGCTCAGACTGAACACAGCACTCTAGATGGGTTCCCACAGGAGCAGAGCAGAGGGGCGGAATCCCCCCGCCTCTGCTGCCCACGCTGGGGCATCAGCCAGCCCACAGGGGGTCTCTGTGTGGCAGTGCATGTGGCTGAGTCATCTCCAGCTTTTCATCCACCTGTTCCCAGAAGTGTTTCCCTCCAGGGCTGCTCTCAGTCCATTCTGCCTGCCTGCATTTGTGCTTGGGATTGCCCTGACCCATGCTCATCTTGCTTTGGACTTTCTTCATGTTCTGTAAACCATTCTGTTTTGTGTGGTATGATATAACCACAAGTTTAAAGCTTCTATTTAAAATGTGGAAGAAAAACTGCATCTTGGTGGTGCTAAACTTACCAATGACAGTTTTGTAGTAGATAAAAAATTACCTCATTTCCCCTTCAAATGGAAAATAAGTCAATCAATTTTTGTGTTTCCTCAGCTTTTGACTTCATGGAAACATTTTGTTGGGTGTTAAAGGTCTGAAGGAATTTCTGCTTTGTATTCCAGGTTTGAAACTGGGAATGGAGAGGGATGCATATGTCATGATTGCAGAGAAAGGAGAGAAGCTGTACCAAATGATGATGAGCAAGAAAGTGAACCTTATCAAAGATAGGAGAAGAAAATTAAGTACCGTTCCCAAGTGCTTTCTTGGCAAGTAAGTGGCATTTGAATTGAAAAGGTCTTTTCACGCCAGTTAATGGACTCTAGAATTTCTGGGGATGGCATTGTGACACAGATCAGATGTGCTTTGATGCAGCTTAATTAGAAAGACCATAAGCCCCATTACAGTAGTGATTTTTTAAAAACTAATCATTGATTTTTGTTTCACACCATACACAGGCTGAATAGTGTGACAGCTCACTCTGTTCTACAGTAAGTCATAACAGCTGCTTCAGATCATCCAAAGGAGTAAGAAAACTATCTTAAACTCCCACAAGCTCCAGGCTGTTGGTGGCCTAACCTGGACTCTCTTTGGGATACAAGCAAATGCTTTCCAGGCAATACTTAAATCCAGCAGAACTGTCCAAGCCTCAGGATTGTATTTAGAAGTTTTCTGTTTGTCAGTGTAACAGGCACCAATGAAATTTTGTGCATCCATGTGACCTGGTATGTTTGTTAGAAGTATAGGACTTCATTGGCTGGAAAAAACCTCTTTGATTCAGCTAGATATTACAAAATAATGACAAACTAATTGTGAAGGATGACATATGAGGCAGCAGAAGAGACTGTGGGTGTCTTGGGTCAGTGATTGGCAATGGCAGCAGTGGGGTTGCTGTAGGGACGTGTCCTGTGGGGCTCAGCACTCAGTAGCTGACCTAAGAAGACTTTTCTGCCTCAGCTGTTGATGACTGATGCGATCAGCTGTGGGAAGAAGAAAAGTTCTGAGGCAGTTATGCATTCATTTCCCTTCGCTCTCTGGCCTCTGTAACAGCAGTTTGTAGCAGCATTGCCAGTGCACAGGGCTGGAAGTGTCTTTCTGCCTGGCAGAAGGCAGGCTGGTAGCATAGGTTGGTGATACTTCAGCTAAAAAAAAATAAATCTTGATATTGGAGCAGTAGTTGGTTTTTCTTCTTCACACATATCCTCCACCCCTCGCCCCCCACCCCCAGCTGATCTTGTTGCATTAAAACTGAAACTTTAGATCTGATAATGGCAGTTCTTTTCCATGCTGAAAGAAGTACAAGGTCAGAAACTCACGTTCTTCCAGTGCTGTTATGTATGAATCTATTGTGGGCTCCCTGATATTATGCTTAGTTTCAAGTCCTCTCCAGGATTTCCTGCTACTACTTTTCCGTTTGAAATGTCTGTTTGCTTACAGTCTGTCCTGCTCAATGCCCTCAGTTTGCTTGCTGAGTTTGACAGCAGTTGCTTGCTCAGTTTGACAGCCACCTGACACTCCAGTAGTGAGGACTTGACCTACCTTTGCTAATGGCTAACTGAGCCCAGACTGAGATACCTGCAGGTATCCTGATCTCTTACAAAAGGATTATTTCTCCTAATGTTCTAGCTGTTTCCACAGCAAAAAACTCTGCTGATATCTTTTCTGCATTCACTTGTTGGTATAGTCCTGGGAAACTCCGCTGAGTGCAGCTCAGTCAGTACATTCCAGTCATGACTGGCAGATTTTGTATCATTTCCAGGGTTTTCCCTAAACAATGCTTATTGGCTGTGACCTGTTTATTTTTGCAGATACTCCAGCCTAAGGGAGTCATTGATGACTGTGCTGAGATGTATTTAGTGGTTTTTTTGTTATATGCAGCTGAGAGCAAAAACAATTTTTCTCTTGGTGTGTGAATATCAGCACAATAATCAGAATATCTCATAATTCAGGAGATAAAATGGTTTTTTTGGGGAAAACAGCATGATCTAATCCTGACTCATCACTATTCTCAGAATTCACAGAATGACCAGGTTGGAAGAGACCTTAAAGATCGTTGAGTCCGAACACCTCAACTAAACCATGGCACCCAGTGCCACATCCAGTCTTCTTTTAAACACATCCAGGGGTGGTGACTCCACCACCTCCCTTGGCAGGCCATTCCAGAACTTTATCACTCTTTCAGTGAAACGTTCCTAATATCCAACCTATAATTCCCTTGATGCAGCTTGAGACTGTGTCCTCTGGTTCTGTCAGTGCTGCCTGGTGAAAGAGACCAACCCCACCTGAGCATAGCCACCTTTCAGGAAGCTGTTGAGAGTGTTAAGGTCACCGCTGAGTCTCCTTTTCTCCAGGCTGAATACCCCCAGCTCCCTCAGTGGTTCCTCACAGGGCTCATGTTTCCAACCCCTCTCCAGCCTTGTTGCCTCCTCTGGATGCACTCGAGCATCTCAACGTCCTTCCCAAACTGAGGGGCCAGAGCTGGACACAGCACTCACGGTGCGACCTCACCAGTGCCACTAATCTGGCTTTAGGGACTTCACAAAACTCTACTGGTTTCCATGGGAATATCCTGGCATAGCTGAACAGATTCTGCTGCTTTTTCTATACTATGACAGCTACATAGTAGCCCCTCAGCAAACCAAAGTTTTGAGTCCTGAAGTTGTTTTGCTATTCTAAAGGCAAAATGCAAATAATTCCTATAGCTTAGAGCAGTCAGTGCTGATAAATACAAAGAGATTAAAAATACTTCAGTTAAAGCCCACAGGTGGAGACATGGATACTGGCTTTGTTAAGCAGCAACCTTCTGCACATTGGCAATCACCCAAGTGTTTTACTGAACTCACATTTCCCATAAGTTGCTCTACTTTCATATATTCCTTTTGTTCGTCTCCATGACTGTAACACATTTCTAGCATAATTGCTAATTACCCTGGCAAACAGGTCAGTCCTCTGGGGCTCTGACAGAGCTGGTTTGCTATGGCTGCTTTTTTGCACTTCCTTTCCAATGAACATCCTACATATCTATCAGTTTTTTTGCTTTTATTCTGCCTATGTGTGCAGCTCTGCCCCTCAACAGAGAGGTTTTGCTTTGTGCTGCATGAGCAGCAGGTGAGATTTAGCATCTTCTGTGTATAAATTAGAAGCATGCTTTATGTAATCTGCCAGGCACCACCTCCAGAAAATGACCTTAAATTAGCGTGTCAGTGGGACTCATGCTGTCTGTTACTGCTCTGTACTGCTTGAATTCAGTAGGTTGAGTCTTTTTTCCTAAGTCCTAATGTGATTGCATTAAAGCCAATCCAGTTACACTGTGGAACTCGGGACAAGAAGTCAAATCATGAACACTACTTGGATAGGTAACTTGGGAATAAGTAGCTGGAAAGGGAGGATACCCTACTGTTGAACTTGGTTTAGGGTCCTCAGTTAATCTTGCTTGCTAGTATTAGCCCATGGATGTCTGGATTGCTCTATAGGATAAGGATTTGCATCATCCTTATGGATACAGCCGTGTCGTCTTTTCTTTTGTGTGCACACTGTCAGTGAGCTTAGGGCAATGATGGGAAGAGGCTAAATCTTCTGCAGAGCATTTCCTCCAGGAATGTAGGAAATTAAGCCACTGGGTAGAGGTGCCATTGCTTACAACAGTTTTCACACCTGCTTCAAGGAGAGTCTTCTGTGGTTGGCTGATGACTCGCAGAGGCAAGAGCCTGCTGCGACTTGGAGCTAACTGTGTGTTCTGCTCCCCTTTGCAGCGAGTTTGTATCCTGGCTCACTGAGATTGGAGAGATAAGCAAACCAGAGGAAGGGGTCAACCTGGGACAGGCACTATTGGAAAATGGAATAATTCATCATGGTGAGTGTGCCATAGAAAGATACCAGATTTCAGTAATGCCCTGGAAATAAGGGTGGGAAACTTACTGAAGCTGTTCACATGATGTTCAAATACTTTCTGCTGCCATACCCATCAAATCCTCAAAATGTTTAGTGATTTTTGGGGTTAATGACTGGGCAAATTTATGCCATGAAAAGAGGGCATGTTTGGTATCCAGAAAGTGTTTGATTTCTCTACAGCATCTTAGTTGGGGAGTATATCAGCTGTATATTCCTTTGTACTATGTGTGTTTGAAAATGTGTTGCAGTCATAAGTACAGCTTTGCACATGAAACATCAGCAATCCAGGGAAGAGTGGAGCAGTGCTCTTTTAGACCGGGGCACAGGTGATGGGTCATTGAAATGACTCTGCTCGTTGCAAAAGAAAGAGATGATGGAGGGTTTGTTGTGTTTCCAGCTCATTTGGCAAGAATGTCTTTCTTTAAAATAGTGAGGGACTGTATTTCTTCATCTCACCCAGTTGATGACCTTGAAGTGTTGTGATGAGGTGTTCTAGAAGGGTAGGACAGAACTTTAAAAAGTGCAGCATGACTGAAGTATGCTTGTCTGAAAATTTTCTGCGCTACCTGCATTTCTACTAAAAGGTCATTATCCATATTACATTGTTTAAATTTAATTTAAGAGCAACACAGTCCTACTCTAATTAAACAGCAAATACCCAATTTCAGCGTTCAGGTGAGTTTAGCTGCAAAATGCACATCAAGGAATACTGTAGATGGGTCTTAAGTCACCACTGGTCTACATTTTCTTACAGTCTCTCTGAAATCAGTTTAAATAAGGGAGCCATTTAATTAGGCTAGTCTTGCTTTAACCTCTTAGTTACCTAGCACAACAACCTTGTCTTTCAGGTGACAGTAATACTGTAAAGAAATTGTGTATGTTAGCTTCTTTTAATTAGCACATACAACGTGTTATAAGCAGTTCCATAGTCCTTCATGCACATATGCTTCCATCTCCACATACCAAGATATGCTTTCAGGTACATTCAGCCTTTGAAGAGTTTGGAGCATCAGCTCAAAAGCACTGAACACTTTTGAAAACTTGGTTTTGGAGAACTGAAGCACTCTGGCTCCAGTGTGGAGGGATCCCTCTTTAAATGAGGAATACTCTTTGCACTCACACCCTTACTGGCCTGCCTTCTGAATGTGCACACATGCACTACTGGTGCAGAAAGCTCTCCGTGGTATTTCGTGTGACTGTTTACCTTGCCATAAGTTCATACTTTTCATACTTCGACACTTTCATCAGTTTTTTTTCTCTTAACTCAAATCTACACTTCAAAAGTTGTGCTGTTAGATCTACTGCTCTCCTTGTTCAAATGCACTCAGTAAGATGCATCTGGTGTGGTTTTAGTGTGACCTCAGAGTTCCTGATGTTCATGTTTTCAACGAAAGTTACTTTTAAACATTGGAAGGTACTTGTAATGAAAAGCATGAAAGTATCCTATAATGTCTCCTAATAAAAGCAATAGCCTATAAGCAGCATAATAAGATCCTTAACCCCATTATGCATTAGGCAATTATATTTTATGTTTCATTTTCACTTGACACAACGTTGTTGCTCTCTCAGCCTGCTTGAGAAGCAGGGCCATAGAAGATTGCTAAATGCTGAGCACCGTGTATTTTGTCCTGAAATTTCCTCCTTATATTCTTTAGTTCTGGCTGTTTTATCTGGGACTGCTGATGGGAGAGTTCTGGTACCCGTCACAGGGCACAGAATTGATCAGAACCTGATCTGTGTGCCAGACACAGAAGACCCTTTCTGCTAACTCAGTTCTCAAATCTCCGACTGTGTTCCGGTACTTTGGAGTCTGCCTAACCCAGGGGATTGTCTTCAGTCATCCAGAGGAGCTAGTTTTTTCAGGTTAATCAGATGTAGGTTAAGATGCATCTTAAATAGTGTAAATCCATATTTTCTCTCAGTTCATCAAATGGTGCATTCAAAGTATTCAGGAGTGCTCCGGCGCTGAGATCTGATCATGGTTTTGGGATGGTGGCAAAGGCAGGGAAGAGTGCAGTGACTCAGCTACTCTGCCTTACCTGTTCTCCAGATTTCCTCTTTATTGTTGGAACTGTCTTGCATTAAATCAGGGTGGGGACAATGGCATTTCTCTGCTACATACTGTAAAATCTGCAGGATACTCTATTACTTTGTTTTCATTTGCTCAGTTTTTGACACTTAAAATTGCCAATTATTTACTACTCAGTGAAACAAATTACTTCTACTAGTTACTAAATTACCATCTTCAGGATGAGGGTTTCCCACCTCTGCCTTCCGTGGAAATAGTTTGCCTTAGAATAGAGACTGGATAAACCTACATGTAATTGGATGTAGACTTCAGCTGTCTTCTAGTCTAATGCATTTGATAAATCTGAATCTGAGTATGTTTTTTAACTATTTTCTGACTTTGGCCAGTGCATCTTTTGAAATGGCTCTTGATCACATTGAAACATCTTTTGTGTCCTCACCTTTGAAGCCCATCAGCAGATAGCATGGCCCGATAAGATTTTAACTGTAGTACTGTGGCATGGCTTTTCTGGGTGAAAAAAACCCAGTCTAATTTTTAGAAGGAACTCACTGGTAACTATAAGAACCATGACAGAAGAACACTTCTCTGGCAGCTGTAGTTTCTGCCACCAGCATGCTTCTGCTTTTGGAGTTGTAGGGTTTTGGGCAACTCCAAAAATGGCTGTAAGTGCTGTGATAACTGTTGTGGGAATTTGCAGCACTTTGTTCAAAACTCATCGAGAAAGGTCAGATGTTCCCAATTCCCTTCACTAGGACTGTTTCCAAAGGCTTACATAAACTGAATCTGATGTAAAATTTTAAAAAATCCAGTTTTTACCAACTGGCCTGTAAAGAACATGGTGGGGACAAAAAACAATTTAAATTATCCTGCTGATGTTTTAGTTTCAGATAAGCACCAGTTTAAGAATGAGCAGGTGATGTACAGATTTCGCTATGATGATGGAACATACAAGCCAAGAAGCGAATTGGAAGACATCGTGTCCAAGGTTTGCGTTATCATTCTTAGCTGGAACCTTGTGATTTGCATCAAGAAGTTTGCTCTCCCTCTGAATGTCATTGACCTGATGTGTGGGAGATTGCCATTGCTGTTGATCTGTGTTGTATTGAGCTGTCCATCCTAATGCCACATTAGGGAGAGGAAGCATAGTCTAGCAATGAACACCAATCCAGTTCTGACTGCACCCAAGACTGCTGATTGCAATCCCAGTAGAGTAACAAAAGGTTTTAAAACAGTTGGTGGTAACACGTCTCCTGCAAATCTGGGCATTATGGTCCAGAGGGACAGAAGAGATCAGTATTTAACTGTTCCTAATAACTGTTTGTAAAATGAGTTCTGTTGGTCCCATATTTGTCCACATACCTTTTAAGAAATTTGATTTTTTTCTTATGGACATTGGTTAATGGGTTAATTGTGAGGAAGGATTAATGGAGAAAATGTTGGAATGGAGGTGATTAGAAGTAAAAAGAGATTTCTGGCTGTTGGAAGCCAGGAAGGAAGAAAAAATGTTTGACAGAGAGGCTAAAGGACAGGTTTTGAATATCAGTATTAATAAATAAAAAATTCCAGCTGAGGAGAGATGTCAGTGTCCAGGTGTTTTAGCATTAGCTAGTAAGTGTTTGTTTGAAAAGGAAAAAGCTGCTAACACTCTCCTCTTCCATTCTTCAGGGGGTGAGGCTGTACTGCCGACTGCACTGCCTGTATACTCCAGTGGTCAAGTAAGCTCCCTTTCGTGATCCCTTTGTATTTATTATCTGGCTTTGTTAAAAGCATGATGTTACTATTGAAATCTTTTTTTTTTCTTACTATAAGCAATAATTTTCTGAATTTTCTTGGCTCTTCTACTGCTCTTGCATCTCCACAGCTTAGATCTGTAGTTGCAGTGCTGCCACTAGAGGATGTTGGAACTGGGGATTCAGGGAGCGTGAGCAGCTGGGTGTGGTTACAGTGGCTTTGATTCAGGGCAGATGTGGTGCCCCATGTGGTGGGGATTGTAGTTGCTATATTATTTGGGTTATAGAAAATGTCAACAGATGCTGAAGTGGTGTAAACAGATTCCAGTGTGGTTCTATGATTCTGTCATTCAGAGCACCCTAAACAAACAAAAGCCAGTCTGAAGCAGAATAAAAGCTGAAGCTGTAATGTAAAGAAACGCTGAAAGTTTTGTGTGGAATCCTAAGAATTTGGTCTGCATAAATTACTGCTGAAGAATTGAGATGGCCTGCAAGTGCTAGGTAACTCTTCCCAGAACCCAGAAAACGATGTTCAGATGTTGTTTACCTTACTGTGACATCAGATGAACCTGATGGCCTGTAATGGAAACCACCCTGAACTCTGTAGTTGTTCTACAACTGCATGGAAGATTAGGCATTTTCACTTAAGAGAACTTAATTTTTTACAAATAAAAAACTGATGAGAAAAAAAAAAAAATCTAGTGGAGATGGCTGGATTCCCAAATTCAACAAAACTGACCTCTTGTCCATGAGTACAACTTGTACAACTGAATTTTCCCTGAGAGATGCCACTGTCTTGCTAAAAGGAGCTGCAATGATAGTTACAGTTTATAAGTAATAAATTTGCACCATTAGAACTCTTGGGGTTTTTCCCAGAATAACTGTTCTACAGTGACACAGATTTCACTTAGCCCAAAAGGTGTGGAGAGAGCAGGAAAGCATGATGCTGCCACTGGCAGACAAAATGACTCTGTAGGTGCACATATGTATTTGCATGCACACATTTCATCCCTGAAGATGGCAATTCATATGCAGAGTAGAAATAATGGGAAGTGAAGTTCAAAAAATGTCCCTGACCTCAGGGTACCCACAAACTGAAGTGGATTTACTCGAATGCTTTAGGGAATCAACAAGGACAAAGTAACAGGCCCATCTTGTGGTGTTTTGTCAATGTGCTATTTTTGTAATAGCTTCCCAGCTGGAGAAGCTATTGGGATAGCTTCTCATATCAGGATTGATCTGTGTTAGTGACATCATGAACACAAACTGTGTATAATCAATGAAAGGTACCAGACTTTCCAAAATTTTAGGATCCTTCTGAATGGATTTAATTCTCAGTATATTTAGGCTCTTCTGTCTTTCTCTTTCTTTTCCTTCTTCCTTTTATAGCCATGTTAGAAAACCTAATCTCTCAGGCTGTCATTGTTTTGTCTTCTTATCATGAGTTTTTGCCTCTGACAAGCCTCACCTTAGCCTAAGGAAGATAGCTTTTGCCAAGTTTGATGCCATTGCTCTGCGCTGTGCCTTTGGGTCACTGCTGTATCTGGCATCTTAGGACTGCTGATCCCTTCACTCATGCTGCCTTTTCTGGCACAACCTTCCTTCTAGAAAATTGGCAAAGCTGCTTGGAGTAGCAGGTACATGTTCCACAGAGGTCTGGAGGAATCACGAATTCAAAACTGTTTTACTGACAACCTTGAGATACAATCCTACTTAGTTTTATTCCCTGGAAGCCTTGGAGTTTCTAGTAGTCTTTGCCTTTATATTTTTCCTCAAGTAAAATCTTGACACCCTGTCACTTTGAGGGCAAGACGATGTACACTACTGGAAACAAATCATGCTACTTTAGGGATTGAAGTATAAAAAGTAAAACATTTTGAAAATTCTGAATGTATCTCTGATGTATTTCTGGGAAGTTGTGAGGTGAGAGAACTTATTCCCATTTATGTATGTGATGGACAGTATGTCAGTGCATTGCTGGGCTAGACCCTGTGAAGATATTCCATTCCTCTAGTTTCTGCGAGGCACCAAGGTTCTGCCAAAATTTCAGTGGTTCCCACCTCTGTATTTGACTGTTCACCTGAAATTCATCGTTCTGGATAACGTTCTATGTTTCATGTTCTGCTCCTGTTCAGGGTACATTGAAATGGGGAGAAAAGAGAATGAACTAAAATTTATTCTGACCAGCACTGACCTGCAAGCAGGGAAAGACTGGGCCTTGGACCAAGATTGGTGGCACCTTATTAAAACTGTCAGCATCTCTAGGAAATATTTGAGAGTTACTTCTTGTCTGGAACTCCATACTCATTAGTGCTCAATATTTTTATGTTTTCCTTTATTATGCTGACATTTCAAAAGTACATTTCCCCAAGATGAGAATGTGAGAGGGGAAGTCTGCCCAGAAAACTCCTGCTGATTTGTGCTGTGTTTAGAGCATTATTGGGAGACAAATTGAAAACTGTGTGTAAGCACTATGAGGAAAGCTTTTTTCCTGAGGACACATTACTGGAAATGCTGTCATGTTTTGTTGGTTTTTTTCCAAGCTCTGAAAGTCCCACTTTTCTTTCCATTTCTCACACCTTGCATTCTGCAAACACACAGACATTTCTGCTGCATTTATTTCAGTCAGTCACAACATATTTATATCTGTAGATGATTAGTAAAAGGAACAGGATTGGGTAGGACAGGTTTTAGATGGTGCTTGGATATTAGATTTTTAGGGAAAAGGCAGTATTGGATAGTATGGTGCTAATGAAAGAGGCTGATTTGCCAGAACTGAAGAATAAAGTCTTGTCTTGGCCGGCCTCGTGGATCCGTCCGGACTGTGAAACAGCCCCAGTGGCTGTGCTTCCTTCTACAGTCATGCCAGCTGAGCTCAAGCTTCAAACACAAGGACCACCCCAAGGCTGAGAGAGGAATTAATTCTTCATATCTATTCAGGATTTGGCCTCTCTGCTGAGATTCTCAATGAGCGGGAGCCAATTAATGCAAATTAATTGTGGTAATGGCTTTTGTGATGTGGAACTAGGAACTGGATCAAGACCATGAAACTTATTTCACATGGGCCAGTAAAAAGCCTTAAAATTGCTTTTATGATCTTCCAAACTGGATTAAATCCAGTGACCTTGGAGGTGAAAGGTGTTAGAGCCCAGTGTCCTAAGCCACCTATGCCTCTTGTATCTGTATCAAAATTCTTTAGAAATATTTCACAAAAGGCTAAAGCCATCAATTATCTCCATGGCTCTGAGAAGAGAAATGGAAGAAAACTGCAAAAAGCATCAAGTTACAGTACGGTTCCTTTTCCTTCTTGCAGGAACAGTGCTGTTCTCTGCAAGGGCTGGGTGTGAGCTGGTGCCAGTTGTGTTACAACAACTAAACACAACCCTGCCTATTTACAATGACTGAAGTTATCTAATTCCATTAAAGGATACTGCATATTATACTAGTGTCTGGCTATTATGTGTTATTTTACTAAAGGAAGTGAAATCTGAACAAGTGTGGAAAATCTCTCTTGACAAAATAGACTAAAAGCTGCCTAATTCCATGAGCCTCACTAAAAGGAGGCAGAGAGGGAATGTGTAGAGTCCCTGTATATGAATACCTTAATAGGTAAATGCTAGAGAAGAATTTTTGAAGCTTATAGATGGGACTGGTACTGAGCTAAAACATGTAAGCTGGACATCAATGGATTTTGGATGATTTCCAGCCAGAAAAGTGTGAATTTTAGTGGGACTGCTGGTGGCAGTATTCTAACCTGAGTTACAGCAGCAGCTTAGGACATCTGTGAAAAGAATCTTCTGGCTGCCCCTGGTGGGAATGTGAGCTCCCTGAAGATGGCTCTAAACAACCTCCAGAGAAATTTTAAGTAACACTTCTTTGTGTTGATTTGAAGTATCTTCCTAATTGAAGCTGCTAGAGAAGTTTAAAACTTTCTACAGAGAAAAGATGGCTGCTTAGTAGTAGTAGGTCACAACAGTATATATATAGGTTTAGAGTGTAAAAGAAATGTATACCTTTTTGTCCTGATTTTCCCTGAATTCTCTTTCTTAATTAGAGACCGTGACTACCACCTCAAGACATACAAATCAGTAATCCCTGCAAGTAAACTAGTGGACTGGCTTATTGCACAGGTAAGAAAAGTTTTAAGATACTCTCTTTGCTAAGAAGCACTTCATAATCCTAAAACTTTCCTTTTTCAGTTTATCAGTGGAAAATTTAAAAGTGGTTTGGTTGCTGCTCTTACCTGTGTGCATCTGCTTTCTTTCCTCCTCCCAGGAAGCTGTGAACAGTCTTGCTCTGAGACCATCTGCTGGGTTTACACATCCCAAAGCACCCAGCCACCATGATTAGGGCTTTAGGCATCACATCATTACCAAAACTAGACAGCAACAGTAATAATTGTAACGGTGGCAGTAGTAATAAAAGTAATGTGCTCTGGACATGCTTCTTCACTCTGGTACTGACTGCAAACTGTTTCTGTAATTCTGATGACTCAAATGGAGAGACTGTATGGAATAAACCTAAGTTAGCATGTCAAAACTAATGTATCAAGTTTCACATCTAGTTTCTGTATGAAAATGTTGAGATGCATTTTGTCAAGATTCATCATTGTAAATGGCTCTATTTTCTGAAGATTTTCTTTACTGCCCTTATTGTCTTTGGGCAAATACCTACATAACATTTAGAAGCACTTAGTGAGCTGAAAAAATTAAAGCTATTGTTTTCTAATTAAAGAATGCTGTTTTGCTAGGGGAATGTTTTGAGGCCAAGGTAACATCATCAGGAGTAGACAAATCTAGTTTAGACCCTTCCTATGCAAAGATTTTGTTGCCTAGGACAAACATAGACTGCTAAAGGTTTAAGATGGTAATATTAGAAAGCATTTCTCCTCCAGTTTATTTACAGTTGAAAGAACAAATTGGGATTTTTAAATCCCAGTCTCTGTAAAATAAACTACCCATTTATCCCATAAAATAACACAATGTAAGCATTGAGCATTGTCTCATGAGAGGATGTTGAAAATGAGAGAAGACTTGTGAAGACTTGAAATTAGTTCACAGTAAAAGTTAAACTTTTGGTTTCTTAAAGCTATTTTCTTGGCTTTCCTTGTGTGATGACATGGTCATGCAAGTGTTTCAGAACTGCCTTGATACCTTTTCTACCAAGACAACAGTATTTAGTTCTTAATTTGTAAGTGTTGTATCTTTTCTGCTCTCAGCCTCTTCAACAAAAGCTAGTATGCTGTGGATTGGCCAGAGCTGATCCTGTCTTTAAATAATGCTGCTGCACCATAGTGATGGGCTTTGCCAGCATTTGCTTGGCAAATAACTACTGCTCTCCTTAGTGACATTTGAAGTTGGACTAATGTTCTGCTGGCAAGATCAGAGGGTGCTTGAAACACTGTGTTTTTGCTTAAAACAAAGTCAGTACACTACCCTACAGCTGTTATGAGAGCTTTTGGGTATCTAGTTCTTCAGATGGAGGGGAGAAAAGGTGTAATACTTGTGGAGGATACAGCTTCTTGTTAAATAGGACTGCAAGTAATACACTGAAATTGCTTCTGTTGCCAGAGCAGCGGGTGCCCTCCCTGATGGAATGAGCTGAGGAGCTGCTCTCACTGAGAGAGCAGACACCAGGTTCCCCTGTGTCCATTTGCTCATCTTGCTTCAAGGGACCAGTGTTAACAACCTTTCTAAGACTAGTAGTGCCTTCTGATTTTTAGCAGCACTGTTTAAAACTTACTTGTCTGCCTAAAAAGTGCAACCAAGTTTGTAAAGTCTTCACTTGTGGCTGCAAATTAGCACATACATTGAGAAAACTAGGCATTTTTAGCTATTTATCTGACTTGCAGATATAAAGCTTTAGGCTGCCATTTCAGGGAAGTCTGTAAATTTGCAAGTCACCTTTGGTACCTGTTTTGAATGACTACACTCAAGGCTTCAGGTGGTGAGAAACAGAAGCCTTTGTAATCTGCTGTGTAAGCAAACTGCCACTGTAGTTTTAACCTGTCTGACCTTTAGAGTTCACATACTTAACTTTTTCTCCCTTGAGCTGAATATGGATGGGATCTCTCAGCTTCAAAGGAGGAGTTTTATTGTCTGTGACTAATAGGTCCTGAAGTCCAACACTCTGATTTCAAATAAAATGTCTTTACATTGAGATAATATGGTGTCTTTCCCCAGTGCTGGTCCTTGATCCCCTGGTTCCTGTAGGAGGGAGAGATGCTGTCTGGAGGAATGAAAAGTGTTTGGGCAATGGGATACCTGTTTTAATGGCTTACTGTTGTTCCCTACACAGATCATCCTGTTAATTTCAGAGCTGCAAGCCATGCAGTGGGGAAAGGGGAATAATTTGTCTCAGAAAATGGTCTGAGGTGTAACGTTAGTCTCCTTTTCTAGGGAGACTGTCAGACTCGGGAGGAGGCTGTCGCACTGGGCGTGGGACTCTGCAATAACGGCTTCATGCACCACGGTAATGCAGCAGTTTTGTTTCCCCCAGCAGATGAAATGAGCTCTTACTTCAGTCAGATTAGCTATTCTAGACTGTGTCATACATGCTGTGTGCACAATTTGCAGGCATTCCTGCACGTCCTTCTAGAACACAGTCCTCAAGCTAATACATGGCTAAGCCTGGTGCCTTCCCAAGGGAAGCCACTTGCTGATAATTATGGGAAGCACTGAAGGGATTAGACAAGCTAGGAGGAGCATGTTTTTTCACTGCATCTATTCCAGAGCCATGTGAGCAATGCACAAGCCAAGTGCTGTCCTGAAATAACACCAAAAAATATCAGCTGTTAAGTAAAATTGCCTAGTTCTTGCCTCTTGGATAGCAAACACAATCCTCAGTGCTGAGGCATCCAAATCTGAAGTGCCAAATTGCCAATTTAGAATGATCCATCCTCAAACAGGGGAAGTAAACAAATCACATCTGTATCAGTATGAAATAGAACATACAAGTCCTAAGAATAAACATAGTTTGTCAAATGAAACATTCAGTTTTAGTCATAGATAACATTTGCTCACTGTATTTTGAATAGTGTTTCTGAGAGCAGATTATTGTAAATTACTAATGGAGAACTTTCATGGTAGTTAGTGTAAGAGTAGTTGGGGTCTTTTTAAAAGAATTTGGTCTGTTCTGAGCCCATGCAAACTTATGGCATTTATTGCATCCTTTGTCAAGGAAGACCTTTGCATAAGTACCTGTTGAATGTAGGACTTGCTCATCACTTGCTGCTTTTATTTGAAGGCCCCATGTCTCATATTTGAAAAACTAGTAAAGAACTTTTTCATGCCTTCTAGAATTTTGTAGATGTCATTTCCCTCTCAGTTATTTTTTTTTAAGTTGAGCCTTAGTCTACGTGGACACCTTACATGCTTTTAAACAGCCCCTTTACCCCTCCTTGCTCCTTTTATAGTTTTCTTATATTCATTTGAATGTAGGAAAGGAGTGTGAGGTTTTGAGTAGCATCTTCCTTCCAGGAGGATCTTTTGCATTTTATATAAATTCTGCATGCTAGGGAGGTCACATCATGTCATGAGCTACTATGCACTGGAGAAAATTCTTGTCCTAAATACAGAATTAGCTTAACAATACAGAGCTGAGGAACTGACTGATACAGATGCATCCGGCCTGTGCTCTGTAAAGATGGGGGAAATATTTAGAATTACCTTTAACTTTCTTCTCTGTTTCTCTTTTTTTTCTCCATGTAAATGCATGTATGTATTTCATATTTATAATTTCCAGTCCTGGAGAAAAGTGAATTTAAGGATGAATCCTTATATTTCCGCTTTTATGCTGATGAGGAGATGGAGGGTACCAGTTCCAAGAGCAAACAATTACGTAATGACTTCAAACTCGTGGAAAATATCTTGGGAAAGAATCTTCTGGTAAGAAATATGTGAATGTGTAAACCTTGATGTTTCTGCTAAGATGGTATTGTTTTATAATAGAGGAGAATAATGAGAGAGTAAAATTAAAATGGGCAATTGCATGTGTAGCTAGGTTTTTCTTCACTGCATAAATGCTTCTAATTCTTGATCTGCTTTGCTGTGTATCTCCAACTTCTGTACCTCTGACTTTTTAGTTAGGCAGACTGCATAAGTTACTCTAGGAGCACGGGAAATCCTTACATTGGAGGCCCCTTTCTGGAGCTTGTGACCATCCTGCTGTATTGGGAGTTTTGGATGCACAGTTCACACAGGTGCAAGTGCATGGAAGTTCTCACCTGTGTCCAGTGCACAGCTCAAGCCCTTTTTATTCCCAAGAAGCCCTTGCAAGAGTGTAAGGGAGCTGGGAGCTGGATGTGTTTTAGCAGGTATCCTCTAGGGATTTCTCATCCCAAGGGGACAGGCTGGGAAGTCAGTGACAAGAGGCATTCATCATCCAGGTGTAAGCAGCCACATAAGGGCTTTGAGTGGGCTTGGATGCTAGCAATGAACTCTGAAATGAAAAACACCTTTTAGGGGGTTTTTTTGACAGTTCAGAAGGAACAGTTTGAGTTCAGTGCTCAATTTCAAAGCTCACAAACCAGAAATAACTTGAGTCATACTGTACGTATTTTACCTCTTTTGCTAATGTTGTAAAACATACCTTTAAAGATAATAGTAGGGGTGGCTTAGATCCTGAAGGTACTCATTGGAAAGAAATTTTGTCTGTTCAAATCTTGTTTTGTTCCTCAAAGGTGTGGACTTGTGAAAAGCTGAGGAGCAACCTGGGAGATGGGATGGCAGGAAAGTAGCTGTCTTTAAATGCTACTGAGGGCCTCAGAAATTTCCTCCATTTTCTGAAATGTTCAGATTGACACTGTCTGATAAGTCACTGGTCCTGAGGAGATTATTACCCAAGTCAGGGTGTTCAGGTGTGTCCAGCAGAGAAGGGTTTTGCTGGAGAGGTGTAGGGAGGTATGTGAGAGAAGAATGTGCATCCTGGACCCAGGTTCAGGGAATGGAGCTGCTGTGCTGCCTCTTCCGCTCGATGTCCCCAAGGGTTTAGGATCAGAGTTTCTGCTGCTGTGTGAGACAGGTGTAATAGACCATTCTTGGCACACTTATTGATCTCAGCAGATCCCATTCCCCTTGCCCCTGCAGTGTTCTTTGAATGTGTTCTGAGTACATTTGCCCTCTGATTTTCATTAAACGTGCTTGTTTTTAAAATAGTCTCACTTGTTAATGTGATTGTCTCTCAAGACTAAACAGCCGCTGCCTTACATTCCAAAAACTGATCGGGCTGCAGGGACATAGAAATAGTTCTTGCAGGTGACAATTTAGTTAATAGCTTTGGACTCCCTAGGGATGAATGGGGTTCAGCTGTGGAATGGCAGGGTGTTCCTACTTAATAATAAAGAATGAATCATTGCCTTCTCCAGGTATTGCAAATGGAATATTATCCATATTATCCATAGCCTTTTCATAAGGGGTGTCTCCAGCACAGAAAGTTCCTAGTGTTGATGCACGTGGGGTTTTTCAAAAGTGTTTTAGTTCTTTCCTTTCAAACAATTCATATTTGCAACTCCAATGAGCAGAGCAAGGTAGGCTATTAAAAATAATAGCAAATAAAAGATTTTCATGCACAGTATGGATGGCTGCACTCCAAGAGAAGGTAAGGATGTGTAGCTGCTGGCAGCTGAAGTTAGGCATGTGAAAGCCTCCAGGTTTTTAAATGTCTGTTTCACAAATGCTTTCAAAATTCAACAGAAGAATCTGAATAGTCCCTTCAAATGTAAAGTGCAAATTGGAGAGGAGAGGTAGTCTAGAAATTTTCCATTGAATCCCAGATATGAAGTGATAAAAGTACATGTTGTGTTGGGCTGAAACTCATTCCACTTGCAACATTAGGGTTTACCTGATTTTCCAAAGTCCTTTGCTGAACAAGTTCTACTAGCATTGTTTTTGAAAATACTTAAAAATAGCCAAAAATGTGAAACTTACCTTCCAGTCTTTTCACTTTCTTGTGCATCCTCTAATGTGAACATCACCTGATAAGGACTTTTCCCCAGATATTTTGCTATACATTATTTTAACTTGACTGTATGGCTCCTGCAGGACAGAATTATTCTGGTTCTTGACTCTTTTTTTTCCCCCAAGGTGATTTACCATAAAAGGACATTTATAATTTGATGGAATTAATTTTAAAGGAAAAAGGACAGTATTTTGGAATAGTACAAAAATCATCAGAAGCAAGGAAACAATTCTAAGTTATTTGTTTTCCCCCATGGCATGCTAGGTTGAGTAGCTTTATTTTTCCTCTTAAATCAGTTCTGTTTTATCAGATGGCTCTTAAATACATAATGTTTACTCAAATGCAAGATATTTATCAGTTAGATTTTCCATTGTCCATTTACCAGTGGCTAGGCTTGGTTTATTTTTCTGTAATGGGCAATGAGCTGTTAAGCTTTTTTCTTACTGTTAATAAACCACTAGAAAAGGATGAATGAAATGTATATTTGTCATGATTGATATGATTTTAAAGAATATGTATAAGGTGGGCCTGTGTGACCTCAGTGCAAACAAGAGGAAGCAGAAATTCAGGAGCAAGAATTATGAAGGCTTCTGTCTACCATGTAAGGTACAAACTGAGCACAAGGTACGGAGTTGCTGTTTTTTCCCTTACACAAAGCCTATGTGCCTGTCTCTAGAGGAAGGACTTATGGATGTCAGGAATTGTCCTGTCATTAGATAGAATTTTAGCCATCAGACTGCTATTATGCTGTAGAATTATGTAGTGTGTAGTAAGATCTATAAAAGGTAGGCCTGAGGTCTGCAGTTTGTGTGAAACTGGTAGCTGAGAAGCACTCAGATCCTTCATTATCAGGTAGGTGGAATGTATTCTGAAAAATAAACAAATGAGTGCACTCAATCTGTAGTACATTCACCAGTGGAAAATACTGAATAATGATGAGTTCCGTAATCCAAAAGTGGAAGATCTATTGAAGGATGAAGGGCTAGGAGTTAAAGTCAAATGCAGTTTCTAAAAGACGAGTTGATTAACCACTGGAAAAAACTCTCAAGGGTGGGAATAGATTCTTCACTTCTTAAAGACTGCAGATCATACCCGAGTAACTCTGGAAAATCTGCTTTAGTATATATTAAGGGCTCAATGCAGAAATAACTAAGATTAAATTTTATGGCTCATGTTTTGTAGGCAATCAGACCAAATGATCTGGTAGTCCCTCTCCATCTTAAGACAGAAGTCCAGATCAGTTGTGGCTTGCAATGAAAAGTCTAATTTCTCATCTTCAGTCTTCACCTTTTCTGTGAACTCCGTATTTATGAAGCATAAATATGTGTAAATATTGTGCTCTGTTTAAGATTTTACCAGAAGAGGATGACTACGGGTTTGACATAGAAGAAAAGAACAAAGCAATTGTGGTGAAGTCAGTTCGACGAGAGTCTTCTGCCGAGGTAGGACCTCACATTCATATTTTGGTATCTAAGAGTGTTTCAGTACTTAGAAAAGTTACAAACCATCCTTTTAAAATCTGTTTCCTTTAAAAGCAGCTAATAGAAGATAGCTGTCTTCTACAATTCCTGGTGATAAGCTGTTTCTGTAAATTGATAAGTGTTTCAGCATTACTGGGGGACTTGAATTATTGGTAAGTGATAGGATGAGAGCAGTATCTGTGTGATGATAGCTTATCTCAGGTTCCTTAGCAACTATAATTTAAGGAGGGAGGGAAAGTAACACTCTTTTGGGGTACCAAAGATGTTTAATGGGGAAACAGCTTTATTTGAATGAAAACTATTTTTAGATATGTGTTTTTTCCTTAAAAAGCATGCAGTAATTTCTCTCTATGGTATTTTTGAGGAGTTCTACAGAATATATTAACTTTGTTTCTTTGAAGCACATAGATAGCCCAGATGTCTTAGGATATGAGTATTGACTTAGCCCTACAGAATTCTTGTGTGGATCACACAGTGTAATCTTCCATTTACCAAAATAAGGCACAGATACACTGCTGAAGATACAAGAGGACTAAATGACTTGTCAAGGGTTTCACAGTAAATTGTGGCACACCGGACAGAGCTTCTAATTAAAAGTCCTGGACAACTGTTGCAGAATTTTTGAATGTCAGCATTAAAATTTGTTGGTTACTCCTTTGCACTACAAATAACTCCTGGATGACTTGCTTAATGGAAATAGCTGAAGAGGACAGATTGGTTTTAGCAAGTTGAAAATGTCACACGGGAAGGGATTTTGAATTGAAGCTGAGTGTTAGAATGAAATTATTTCAGTATTCCTGATTCTCTTTTGGTCTATGGTCACCAAAGAAACCAAACCTATGCTTTATCTAGTGCTCAACATCAACATAGGTTAGCCAAAAAAGTTACTAATCTAAACCTGTGCTATGAACTATTGCCTGCCAGATAATCCTCTGCCCTTTTTCTGGCTGGAAGCTTGGGGAATAGCCTGCAGGTCTGTTGTGTTTGAGGAAAACGGCGGCATACCATTTTCTAAGGAATCAGTTTCTTGATCTTTCAAGATAATCTTTGACCATGAGCCCATCTTTTGAACTTGATGTAATAATACTAGTCCAGCAAAGAACTAAATCTGTATCTTCCTGAGCCAGAGTCTATGTGAGAGTAGTGCTGTGTGGACCTCCTTTTTCAAGTCAAGAAACTTGTCAGTGGATTCCAAGCAGAATAGGAAAGGGTTTGCCACATTTAGAAGGAAACTTAACTGCTGAACCTTGAAGTTATATGAAGTAATTATAATCTGGAAGATTTAATAATTTTTTTAGTGGTTCCTTGATACCTAACACCTAGTCCAAATGTTGCTATGTTGAATTTTAAGTAGAGATCATCAAGGGGTATGTTTGAGGCTATTGTCCGGTGGGCACAGGAGGGGATCTCAGTCTTGGAATTGCATCTGTGGCCATTGCAAAATAACTAAAGTTATGTGCAAAACCGAGGGATTAAAGTAAAAATCGAATGGCTTTTTAGGCTATAAAGCTTGAAATGAATAAGCTCACTTAAAGCAGAGACAGTTCTTATCCCCACTTCAAACCAGGTTGCATTTACTGACCTGACTGGGTATAGGTTGGTTTCTCAAGGCCGGTGGCTGAAAAAGTCCACAGTTCCTGTGCCCGAGGTGTGGGAAGCCACATTTCTGCATCTCACTGGGTATCACAGCCAGTCTGTTATGGGGCCCTAGCTTTCAGTTGTGTCCCCCCATCCCTTGTTTTTTTATAGTCTCCTATTTTAATAGTCCCTTTAAAATTTTTAGCAGAAAAGTAGTAAGATCTATCCATTGCAAGCTAAGATACATCTGTAGAGTGGCATATTTCTAAGGATACTGCCGAAATATCTTTGTTTTCTGTAAGTGCAGACAATTTTAAGGGAGAGTGACAAATGACTTGATGAACCAACACTACTTCTAGGGTGTTCCATGTGAAAGTAATCCAAGAAATGTCCATAAGTAGGGAACAGTTGAGTGTTGAAGCCTGAGCTTTCAGAGTTGCTGCCAGTGATCCAAAGTGCTCTGTGGTATTTGTTCCTTTGCAGATGGCTGGCCTGCAAGCAGGAAGAAAAATCTATTCCATCAATGAGGATTTAGTATTCCTACGCCCGTTTGCTGAAGTGGAAACCATGTTATCCCAGTCCTTCTGCTCACGAAGGCCACTTAGGCTTCTGGTAGCCACCAAATCAAAGGAGTAAGTGCCAAGATGGGCAGAGAGAAAGATTATTGAGAAATGTCAGTTACTAATGTCAGTACTTCTACAGTTGTAGTGAAACCTGTGTAAAACACTTTGCTGTGCAGAAGCTACTCAGTAGGAAAACATGACAGAAATGAGAGGTACAAGAGTCACGGCTTGTTTTTAGTGATGACCCCTGGGCTGCTAGGAGAGGTTGGCGTATGTTCTCTTTATACTGCAGCTAACTTTTGGGTTCCTGGTCTACAAACAAAATTGAATTGCAAGGATTGTCATTCTTTCTCAGGTGTGAAGCTCCTCATACTCTATTTTGTGCATAGGAAAAGAATTTCCACTCATTGGAGCTAGGCTTATTTTTGGATGACTCTAACAATATCAGCCCTTACAGTTTTTCAGTCTGTTATTGTTTCTTACAATGAGAGTTGGCCCTCTTAGTGTCTTGTGTAGTGTTAGATTCTGTAGTCCCAGAATGTGCCTGAATAGAACTGAATGTCTCAGTGAACATTTGTTGCTGAATTCTAGTCCAGAATGTCTTGTCCAGTCTCTTTTGTTTTTTGGTTTTTTTTTTAAATTTTTTAGTGGGAAAAAAATCCTCTGCTGGTATAGGTCAGCACAGCTGCACTGAAGTTTGTGCAGAAATGGAAGTGAATATAAATGCCTTAGAAACTTTCTGTCAAACGTTTTTTCATGTATAGATGTAATAAATTAAGAAATGCCAAATTTTAATTAACAAATAGAATCTCCCATCTGCCTTGGAGATTCAAGATGAAGTATATTCCTATTTATTTTTTATTTATTTCTAAACATTATGGATGCTTACTTTCATCCAAACCTAGTTGTGAATGCTAAGGAAAGATGCTGTTAAGAGCTGCCCAGAACTCTGGCAGCCTAAATGAAAACCATGCTTTCTCTTCTCCATTATTTATCTGCAGGATTATTAAAATCCCAGATTGTCCTGAAGCACTTTGCTTTCAGCTCCGGGGAGCAGCACCACCATACGTTCACGCAGTAGGAAGAGGTAAGCAGAAACTCTGTGGTACAGTAAAGTTGGGAGTACAGCTGCACAGATAGACGTGTCCATATAAAGTGTGTGTATGTATATATATATATATATTTCAACAAAGACAGATCCAGGTTCATTGTCTACCTTGTTCTGTACAAATTCTGATACATTTGGTGACCTCAGTGACAGGAACCTGTGACAGACAAAAATCACACTCATATAACCATAGAACAGTGTGAGATTTCCTGCCTCAAACTGCTTATCACCTGAATAGATTCTAAGACAAACAGTATCATTCTTATGAACTGACTGTTGGCTCTCTAATCCCATCAACACAATACAAGGAATAATTTAATGCCACAGTAGAAGAAACTTGAATGCTGCAATGCACAGTACCATGGACTCTCTAGAAGGCATTATCACTTTAGCTCTTGCAAGCCAGGAATGGACTTGCTTAGTGACCTTTCCCTTGTTTCTTCTGAGACTACTAAGGTAAAGCTTAACAGCCACAGGGGGAAAAAGCCCATAAAACTGAGATGGTTGAGAAAAAGTTAAAGGGGTCATGCTGTCTGTTGCTTCCTCAATATTTTTACCTGTAGTCATCCACAATTTGGGTCTGGGTTCTGAAGGTGTTGTAGGAACAGCAGGTTGGTAGACAAGTCATAACATCACAAAGTATGATGTAAGACTTGAAGACTACTTCTCCCTTTACATAGGCATATATTGCTACAAATTGCCAGTATAAGACAGAGGCAAACTGCTCACCTTGATATTTTAAAAATGAGAAAACACAATTTGACAGAGATATTTACCACTTTTGTGCCTGACATATTTAACTGAGCTACAAGCAAAGCATAGATTTACCTTTATGTTAAGCAGATGCAGAAAATACGACCTTTTAGATATACACCAGTCCCTTCCTTCAGAACAAATACGTGTCTCCAGCTGAGTGCTGTTAGCTTAGGCAGCACCCACAGATGGCATTCCCAGGGACACACATTTATTTACACCATTTTATAGCATTTTTTTTTTCACTGTTTGGAGTGCAAGCTGGAAGTTGCAGCTGGGAAGATGATCCTTTTCCAGGATTTTGCCTGGAAAAGACAAGTTACATTTGACATTGTAGTCTTTTTGTGTAGCAAATTGTGTAACATGCAAACATTCTGTCTTCCAGGTGCAAGAGGCTGGAACAAATACAACAGTTTGTACTTAAGCAAGACTGCAGCTAATGTAACCATAAGGCTAAAAGAGAACCATATAAGAATCCCAAACAGTTTCCCACAGAAATGTCAGTTTCTAGCATGAATGCAATCAGATCTAGGAGATTGCTGTTTTTCCCAGCACAGCTGAAAACATGAAGGATAGACACATGATGTTATCCTCACACAACAAAGCTTTCTGAATGGTAGCAAAGGCATGACAGGACTGACCCAGCTCTTCTTACTTTTTCTTACTAGAAAGCTTTTGCAAACTTTCCAGTATTCTCATGCATAGCCAGATGGCATTTCTGTTTAACTTCTCTCCTGTTATTTTTCAGGTTCTGAGGCTGCAGCCGTAGGCCTTCATCCAGGGCAATGTATTTTGAAAGTTAATGGGAATAATGCAACACATGGAAATTACAAGGAAGTTCTGGAACACTTCACAGCCTATAGGACCAGGCAGCAGGAAGCACTGGTATGAATGCACAACCTCAAAGGAAGTACATTAATTCCTGCCTTTCTTCTGCCCTCCTCTAGTCCTGTGTTTTTATGCTCACTAAATATTCAGAAAAAGAACATCTACACGTTTGTTTTGACTCATTTGCTTTTATGCCAGGGTCCTGCTGTCACTGAGGGAACCTGATTCCATTTGCCCATAGCTGCAAAACACCTACAAATAATATGAAAGCCATTCCATGCATACAGCACTGAAAATTGTTACTAACCATGGAAGTTTATCCAGCTATTGATCTAAATTTTATGTTCTCTGAAGTTCAGAGAAAAACTGGTGTAATGTTGGTATTTCAGCCTACTTAGGAGATACAGATTGCTAGATTCACCTCTGTAGTCCAAATATTTGGAGGTTGGGCATTTTGAGGTCCTAGCTGAAGCCTGTATCTCTTGAAAGGGGTTGTACCAGTGGGTGTACAGAACACATGAAGATGCGGAAGAGGACAGAGTTCAGCAAGCAGCATCCCCTGCATGTTTGAGTGGCAGTCGCCTGGGCTCCAGCAGAGACAACTCTGCACTAGAAGGACATGCAGAACTGGAATCCCTTCAAAGCAGCCAACAGGAATCAGGTAAAGATTCTCATGGGGGAAGAAAATCTAGGGAGAATTCAGGGGTTTTCAGAAGGAAAACCACAGTAGAAATGTAAAGAATATACATTATTGTAGCATATCTTATGTCTTAGCAAAGCTTTGTAATTGAATGAGGTCTGCCAGAGGACATATTTCTTTGCTGCAGTTTATTCAGGGGAAGAAAAAATTGAGATGCACATAGAAATCATGTCCCTATGACTCTCTCTTCTCTACAAGATAGCCAGTTATGGGAATGAAGAGATTCAGCATTTTTAGAATCCTTTGGTAGCCCCTGCAAACCATGCATTTATGGGCAGTAGCTGATGGAGAGGGAACGTCTGCAAGTAACTCCACCTAGAATAATCTGTATTTTCTGTTATTTTTGATTAAAGATTAGGATGTTAAATTACTTTGATCTGGAGCAAATCTTGAAGGCATGTTGCCACCGTTTCAGGAAAAGGTGCGGGTGTATTTCCTCCAACTTTTGAATGCATAGCTCAAAAAACAGGTCTGCTTTCATGTTGAGGGCTTATGCGGAAAAGTAGATGTTAAGGGAGACTACTAAAGCAAAACTTAATCCAAATGACTGAGCCTGGACTCTCTAAAGCCATTGGCAACTTCTCCAAGAACAGATGCACGTCTGTGTGGATCCCATGCAGGGCCTGGTGATGCTGGTAATTTCACAGTCCCAGAGTGTTCCAGCAGTGGAACAGCTGGAGCGCCCTGATAGAAGTGTGTGAGCAACTCCCTGGCAAATCTCAATTTGACTGTAATGTGAATCTGGTCTCTAGTGACAATAGAACTGCTTTGTGCAAAAAATGTTTTCTCCTCACCACATCCCTGCCTTATATCCCAGTCTTCCAGAGAGTTATTGCAGGCAGCAGGACTGGGAGATTAACATACTTCCCTTCCCTTACAAGCTTCTGCTAGGATCCGTGAACAGAACTAGAAGTAGTGTCCTGAGCATGGATATGTGCACACATGCATGGAAGAACATCAGAATGGGGATTGGAGCATGTGTATTATCTAAAACTCTGTCACTGTCTCCATTAATGGCCAACAGTGAATGTCTTCCTAAGAATATTCTCTCAGTCTCTGGCAGCACAGAGTTCGAGACATTCTTTGAGCCAAAGGTTGTGTCTCTGCATTCAGTATTCTTCTCAGCAGGTTTCTCTTGCCTGGGCAGGCCTGTGTTCACATGTACTGCCAGACATCTCTAATGACTTACTTTGGTTCCAGCCCAGACACCACAGACTGTTATTTCTCCACTGGTCATTGGTGAAGAAACCCCTCTCATCAGCCTGACTGTGGATAACACGCACCTGGAGCACGGGGTGGTATATGAATATGTTAGCAGTGCAGGAATCAAATCCTTTGTCCTGGAGAAAATTGTGGAACCAAAAGGTTGCTTCATTCTCACTGCAAAGGTACTGAAAACCATACGTGGTCAGCTTTTGCCTAAACAGAATGAGAAACCAATAATATTGCTTATTATTGGCTGCTGTGGGCTTGGCTCTTCAGTTGAGTTTGACATTGGTCTTCTCAGCTCTGCTTAGAGTTTTGTTCATTGGAATGAGTTACAATAGCTTGTTTGGTATGAGTAATCAGCAAGTGCTTCCAGGACTTCAGCTGTTGAGGCAGATGAAGGGGAGCCCTCAGCTGTGGAATTCTTGCTTTTATCTGCCTGGTAACATACACTCTGTTGATATTTAAGATTAATCTTTTCAGGCAGGAATTTGCTTTACCTTACAAGAAAATCAAGGAACTTTTTCCCACCTGAGAGGCTGGATGGGTTGCTACAGGAATTGAGTAGAACTGCTATTGGAAAGCAGCAGAGAGTGCTGAGTGGCTTGGTCATCTCTGGCAAAAATGAGCTAATAGTGAATGCTCGTCACATCCCAATAATGTTATTGTTATGTCCCATGGAAGCATGCTAGAGCAGGTAACTTGGACAGTAGATACTTTGATCCACTTCCATGATTCTAAACATTTTTAAGGAACGTTAGATCACTCTGACGATTAGACACATTAGTGGTTCTCAGGCAGTAATAAAGGCAGCTTGTTCTGGAGGCAGCTTTATTCAGCCATGGGGCTTTGCCTCTCGCTGAGTGGAAGAAAACTGTATTTTCCCTCCTTGGCAGGACTCATACCATTGACATCCTGTCTTTTTGTTTAGGTTTTAGAGGCCTTTGCTGCAGAGGACAGTCATTTCGTAAGGAACTGCGAAAGACTCATATCCCTAAGTAGTGCTGTGGCCACCATGCCCCAGTATGAATTCCGGCAAATCTGTGACACTAAGCTGGAAAGCATTAGCAGGAGGCTAACGAGCTACCAAGAGGTAAAACACTACTAGTTATTGGTGAAGTCTTGAGAGAATAGTTCATTGTGTTAAGTGGATCTTAGTATTCTTTATTAATGAATCCAAACTGTTTCTGAGGTGAGTGTCCTGGAGGCATGAGAACAGCTCTGCAAGTTACTGAAATTGCAAGTTTTGAGTGAAAATACTTTGTCTGTAAATCACTCTTTTCTGCTTGTCAGAGCTAAGACATATTATTGCAGGTTAATTTCCACTGTGTTAATGAATAAATATGAGAACAAATTGATGCATGTCTTATTTAACATGAGTGTAACTACAGTGTATCATGGTGTAAACAAAGTGTATGTGCTTTTCTTGTGCAGTTACCTGAGCTGCTTGAAAATAGAGTGCTAGGAGGTATAGCTAATTACTTTCCTGTGTTGTTTTATGAGCTTTTTTTTAATGTGTTATTCCAGCTGCAGCAGAAATCTGAATTCCTGGATTTCTGGAATAAGAGGCAGGAAGAGAAAAGAATTGTCTGTATTGCTTCGTATTTTTTTTTTGAAGGTGCAGTAGCACACACCTACTTTATTTCTCCCAGTTTGCAGATGAATTGAAAACAAAGGTGAGCCCAGCCTTCAAACAAGCCGTTATGGAACCTCATTCCCTCAACAGCATGGATTTCTGCCCCACCAACTGCCATATTAACCTCATGGAGGTATCATACCCCAAAAACACTACCTCAGCAGGGAGATCGTTCAGTATTCGCATTGGACGGAAACCTTCTATTATTGGTCTTGATCCAGAGCAAGGTGATAATTAACTTCCAAGTCATACTCATTTGATCTGTATAAAAGGCTGTGTTTTTCCACTGCTCAGCAAGGTCAAATAGAACTTCCAAGGAAACATAGTCTTGCCAGTACCCTTTTTTCCTCCTTAAAATTTTATAGTTAAATGGCAGCCTTCTTGTGTTGTCAAAAAGTAATGGCTTCAAGCATAGAGGGGCTTCAGGTGCCATGTTTTTGCTAGATGAACTGTTTGGGCATGATCTCATGGTAGTTATGTAGCCAGGGTGCTCTTGCCCTTAGTAGAGGTGACTGCTGACTAAAAGTGAGCAGGGGCTGATGGCAATGCTAGTGCTTCATTCAGGGGGAAAACTGAAGTCAATCACAATGTAGTGCTGCTTTCTCCTCTCATTACTAAGTAAATTCCATGCACTGGAGTTGAAAGTCCGTACCATGTCAGGGGATCTCTTTTCTGATAATTGCTGCTATGCAGCATTTCTCCTACAATCTGGTTATTTGAGTTCCAACCCTTTTTTATCATGATCTGACTTAGCATGCTTCTGATTCATTGCCTTGTGAAGGTCAGAGTGCAGGAACGTTTGGAAGAGGGAACTATAGACTAACCAACTTTCTGAATGATGGCATTGACTATTTAAATTGAGGTTTATAAAGGACCCCTGCTTGCTTGGGCAGTAGAATTTTTAATGTGCTAAGATAGGTAGCAAAGTATTGCATCAAAACTGTCGGCAATTCTAAATGAAAAATAATTATCTTCTGAAAGGACAGAATCCTATTCCTTTTTAGCTATGTGTGTGTGTAAGTGTAAATGTCTGTAGAGCTTGAATAACAGCATGGACCGATTCCTGAGAACCCAAATTCATTAACTTTTCAATGAACGCTTTTAGAGCGCTTCTGAGTTTTTGGTGTGAGTGTACCTGTGGACATAGGTTTTTACTTCCATAATCTAGCCAGTTTCTGAACTGCAGTAAATTCAAAATATCTATGTAGTATAACAGGAAAAAAAGCCCAACTTCTTTGGGTATTTCTCCAGAATGATTTTGTCATATAATGGAATTATATAAAACAGTTCTGTGACATTTTAGTTTTTGCTGTCAGAACTCTGCTTATGCTAAATGATCATCATTGGGATGGAGTAGAAAAAATCATGAGAGCCATACTAACTAGATCCTTTAATGTTTAGTAGGTACCTTAAATCCAGTCTCATATACTCAGCATTGCATCACCACTATGGCTGCACCATCTTGGAGATGTCCAGCCCCAGAAGATGGAGATCCTGATGGTAGCTTTGGCCAGCAGAATGGAGGAACAATTTGGGAAGAAAGGGGACTCAGTTTTCTGCTGAAACAGGAAGATTGGGAGATGCAGGACTCCTACTTGCATCTTTTTAACAAACTAGACATTGCAGTGAAGGAAATGAAGCAGTATGTCATTCAGATAAATAAGTGAGTACAAAATCCTGTATGCACTGGGGAAAGCAATCCTTATAATATTGAGGCAGTAACCTCCAAAAGCATATTGTGCTGTCAGCTCCAGCTGTCAGCCTCTTCTCACCTGCCCTTGTGTGACAAGTCCTCGCTGGTTGTGTCAAATCTACTCCTGGGTAGTGGTTGTGTTATTGTCTTTTGCTTCTAAAAGTCTACCTGAATTTGACAGCCACTGTTTTGCTTACTGTATATTCCAAAATAAGAATCTATTTGTTCTCAAGGGCCCTTGAGATTTTGTCTGTCATAAGGCAGAAATAAGGGTTGAAATAAAGACAGTTCAACAGCTGAAGCAAAAGATGCACACAAACAAAGCAAAACCAGGGATTCATTCACTGCTTCCCATGGGCAGGCAGGTGTTCAGCCACCTTCAGGAGAGTAGGGTCCCATCCTGTGCAATGGTGACTTGGGAAGAGAAACACCGTCACTCCAAATAGCCCCTCCTTCCTCCTTTTCCACCCACTTTATATGCTGAGCATGGTGTCACATGATTGGAATATCCCTTGGGTCAGTTGGGGTCATCTGTCTTGGCTGTGTCTCCTCCCAGTCTCCAACACACCCCAGCCCCCTCCTCAGAGTGGCTCTACGAAGGGCAGAAGAGGCTTTGGTTCTGTGTTAGCTCAGGAGTAACAAAACCATCTCTGTATTATCAGCTTTGTGTTCAGCACAAATCCACAACAGTCCCATACCAGCCAATGGAAAAAAAATATCCCTGCCAAAAGCAGCACATGACCAAAACTTCACCCGAGTGCAAAGCACGTGGGGGCTTGGTTTCAACATGTGTACTGAAGGGTAGTGGCTGCTGGGTAGAGCCAGTGAGCTGAGGAGGAGAAATCCAGTGCCTTGGGGGAAGAAAGTGAGAACTTCAGGCCACCATGGTTACAGTGATCAAGTTACACCTTACAGAAGTAGAATACCTGTGGAAGCAGGACCTTCTTGGAACTGGGATTCATGGGAATCTCCTGAAGTTTAACAAGACCAAGTGCAAGGTACTGCACCTACTCGGGACAGGCTGGAGAATAAAGGGACTGAAAGCAGATGTGCCAAGGACTTGGGAGTGCTGGTGGCTGAGAGGCTGGACATAAGCCGTCAGTGTGCACAAACAGCATCATTCAGTCTTGGGCCATCTGTGTCCTGAGCTCAGCCCTACAGTGTGGGCAGCCCCATATTCCCGGGGGGAATATGCCCATCTGCCCTGCCCAGCCCAGGTGAGACTACCTGCAGAGCTACCTCCAGCTCTGGGGTGCCCAGCTCAGGAAGGATGTGAGAGAGAATCCAGAGGAGGCCATGGAGATGATCAGAGGGATAGAGCAGCTCTGCTGTGGGAAAAGGCTGAGAGAATTGGGATTGTTAGGCTGGAGAAGAGGCTTTGGGGTGACCTACTTGTGGTCTTCCAGTAGCTGATGGGAGCCTGCTAGAAAGATGGAGAGACTCTTTACAAGGGCCTGGAGTGACAGAACAAGGTGGAATGGCCTCAAACTGAGAGCATGTTCAGATCAGATGTTGAGTAGTAGCCTATGTAAAATGCTAAAAAAGGTAGCTCTGATTTCACATAGCTGCATTTAGCCTTAGTTGTGACAGTTCATTTGTGGGACTGAGAGCTCTATGTTGTGTTTCTGCAGACTTTTGTCCACCATAACAGAACCTACAGAAGCTGGTGCCTGTGAGCCACCATCTACTGAGGACACATCTTCACCTTCCCTGGGAACAGAAGAAAGTGATCCTGACAAAGCTGAGCATGGCGGAATCAAGAAGGTCTGTTTCAAAGTTTCTGAGGAGGACCAGGAAGACTCTGGACATGACACAATGAGTTTCAGAGACTCCTACAGGTCAGTCTGAAGATTCTGCCACTTGTACCTTACTAGTACTGTGTTTCAAAGTTCTCATTTCAGTATGGATTCACCAAACAAGTTGTTTTTCCAGTCAGTCAATTATGTGGTATTCACTTAGAGAGTATTCACTTCACTTATGTATTCATTACATTTATTACCCTGGAGACATACACAGCAAAAATACTTCCCCCAAAATAATGCCAAAATACTAAGGTATCTAGAAAAGTGAATAAAATGAAATAAATAGGTCTAGTGTGACTTTCGGTGTCCTGTAGCCTGAAACTACAGAAATCCAGCAGAATTCTCAGACTGTTTGGTCTTATAATAGCTGGTATTGTCACTTGGTTCTGCAGCCAATTTTCCTGAAAGTCTAAGACACAGAGAAACAGAAATGGACATTGAGTTTTTTATTTTTAATGGTCCTTTGAAACCACAAATTAAAATGTTTATTCAGGTGTCTCAAAATCTTTTTGGGACATGATTGACTGCTAGTTCTCCAGGAATATTTGCTACCAAAGGGAATTTCACTTCCAGTTCTCTCTATTTTGGGGGCAAACATTTGGAGACTGAGCTTTAGAATAAGTGGGATAGCAAATTGTTGCCATGTGTGATCACTGCAATTTAACATCCTTAATAGGCCATTTTTCCATTTCTAGTAAGACCATAAAGCTGGGAGGATTCCAGGGACCTGAATGAATTACCTGTCTCTGGAATGTCCCCACTGCAGTCCTGATGCTTCACTTGCTGTTGTTGGGCACTTGTACCAGTAGCAATAGGTGCCACCGATGCAGGACTCCAGAATGGCAGAAGGGGAACAATTTGGAACAATTTGGAAGGGGTCTCTGGAGTCTGCACAGTCCAGTCCCTTGCTCAGGACAGGGCCAGTAAGACTGGTTGCTTGGGGTCTTGTCTGGTTGAATATTGATCGCCTCAGAGGACAGCAAATACAAAGTCAATAAAGGAATAGAATGAGTACTTGCAGTGCTGAGATCTGGGGCATCGCTGTTGTGGGAGATTTCAATCAGCACATGTGCTTTGGAGCTTTCTGAGTGAAATGTGCTTTATTTCTTTCACTGTTAATAGGGTATCCCTGCAGTTTAAATTTCTGTAATTGACGCTAATTTATTCTGTGTAACAAAGTAACAGCACAAACAGCCTCTCTTGGTTTGTCACTTGTTCCAGAATTCTACAGAATTCTACATATTTGTTTGAGAGAAATGTTTGAGAAACATTATTCTGTCTTACCCGTATTAGACAGAGGCAGAGAATTAAGCATATATTACAGATAGTAGTTACTTGAGAGGGATTGTGTTTTTATGGGGCAAATTGTAGATAAGAAAAGACCTTGTTTGCAGTAGCCAGCAAGGCTTTTTTCTGTGATCGTTTGGAGGTGTAATTCATAAGGATTTGTATTGCAGAGTAGTTGCCATAAGTATTAATCTTCCTGAGAAAAAAACAGGAACTTTAATACTAGATTTAAAAAAGGGCAGCAAGAATCCCAATTAGGGTTCTTTCAGGTGCTCTTCCATTTTTCTCTCATCTCAGTTAAAAATTACTTCAGGGGCAGAGACAGTGGAGAATTTTTTAAGCTTTGTTTTGGGCTTGTACCATTAAAACCACTGTCACTGTCACTTCATTGGAAGGGGGCAGCCTGAGATCCATAGTCTTTTTGGTTACTTTCAGTAAGAGAACTTTAGAGAGAGGAGATTCACTATAGAATGTTCCAGATGTGCATGAGCCAAGATTGCTGTGGAGCTGTCGTGATTCCTCTGCTTCATTGTAGGATCTGCAGTGCCTGATTCTCCAGTGCCTTAGATTCCCTAAATTTTCTCTCCCACCCTCAATATCTGTGCTACTGCAGCCTCTCTATATGCTGGATTTGGATGCTGTAATACTCTGAGAATTGGTAGCAAACGTTTAGTGGAGATGTCTGTTTTCATTATTACAGAAGCAAGGTGATGTATTAAGCACTCAGTGTTAACTGCAAATAGAAGAAGGCATCCTGTGGCAGTCTAGCTCCAGAGTCCTTGCTTAATGGCTGTTGTGCGTGTCATTAGTTGCAGTAATTTCATTTTCACAGAACTAGGTTTGGGGAGACAGTGCTCGTAAACAGGAGAGCAGTGTGGGTGCGTGGGTGTGGGGACAGCCTTCGTTCAATGCCCTCTGTGCTCTCCTTTTCAGTGAGTGTAACAGTAACCGGGACTCGGTGTTGTCCTACACCAGCGTGCGGAGCAACAGCTCTTACCTGGGCAGCGACGAGATGGGATCAGGTGAGTGTGTGCACAGCTCACAGGCGTCCTTCTCGCGCCCGGCCCTGCTGCAGTGCTGAGAAGTCTCTGCTGCTTAGCAGCACTTGCATATTTAATTTGCACCAGTGGTCTCTTCAGTTCTGATCACAAGAACATAAAGATACAGATTTGCCTTTTTCTAATAAACCACAGTAAATTTGGAACATGGGAGAGGTGTTAGACAGGGTAAGTTTCTTTAGTTATTAGATACTTGCATAATATGAGAATAATGAGTATTTTGGCCTAAGAATTGGAGATAAAGCAGCAATCATTATTTATGTCACACCAATGTGAAGGTGTGCCCATGCCTCATCAAAGATCATGTTTGTAAGTTCAAAGCTTTTCATTTGTCCTGTATTAGGAGATGAGCTTCCCAATGATATGAGAATACCTTTAGACAAGCAAGACAAACTTCATGGCTGTCTGGAGCACCTTTTTAACCAGGTATGTAAAGTGTTCTTCTTATACAGAATTGCCTTTTCTTTATCAATGTCAATCAAAATATTGAAAGTACTAAATTGGGTTATGAAATAATATTTTGAGGAAGGCATACTATAGAGATTTTGGGGCACATTATAGCAAATATATTATAGGACAGTTTGGTGAATCACTTTTATCTGTGTTATTAAAGTTGACTTGTGATTTAAGCAAGGCTGACTTACCCTACCTAAGGCTTATTAGACTAAGGGAAAAAAAGCTTTCATGGAAAAAAAAGGACAAACTTCTGGTACTTTGATGAAAATGGATCACATTTGCAGATTTCAGGAGGTTCTCACAAGTTTAGCGTGCAGATGTGTTTATAATGTGCAACCACAAAGAGTAGTTTGCTATTCTCTTACCTCATCAGCACACAGATCATCGTTGTGCAAAATGCTGTTATTAAATGTGAGAGCTCTTGAGGCCAGTTCATGGCTACAAAGTCTGACTGCTGTGTGTCAGTCGTTCCAAAATACAAATAGTTTAAGGGGTCCGCAGTTTCCCACAGGAGTTCTGTTCAGATTTTCTTCGGCAAGTCTTACTGACACTGATCGATAACGTTCCCATTGTAGGTTGATGCAATCAATGCACTTCTAAAAGGACCAGGAATAAATAAGGCCTTTGAGGAAACCAAGCACTTTCCCATGGACCACAGTTTGCAAGGTAAACAAATAGATTGACTGTATTTAATAATGTGATTTCCAAGACTTCAGAGCCTAACATGAAAGCATATGTGCTATGGCCACACAGAGTTCCTTAACTCTGCAGTCTACCCAGTCGTGCATTAGGCAGGTGCCATGCCTGAAATTATTGTATCTCAAAGAGGTCATTTTCATAGGAATTCCTCCTGAAACACACAGAAGCCTCTTTTGTTACATGCTGCTCAGTTCTCGCAGCTCTTTCACAAGTTTCCAAATCCCCACTTTGCTGTAAATGTATTTGAAAGGGTACAAAGTAAGGATAGTCAGATTCAAGGCGAAGGAGGGGCTGACCACTGAACATCCAAGGCACCAAAGGTTCTAGCTCAGTTTACTTAGTGACTTACTCTGCTTTTCTTCAGATGGATGATTGCCAGAGTAAATTCATCCTCATACAACGCTTATTTTGAAAACTGATTCCCATAGAGAGCAAACAGATGATACCATGTTTTCTTTTTTCCCAGGGAGTGTGATGATTCTTTGGTCTTGATGGTCTTTTGGGGCTCAGGATGTGGTTTATGTTCTGCCTGAAATACACAGGATTTTATTTTTTAAATATTTGCCGCATTTTCTTCCCCACTTGAAAGCTGAAATATTCCCTGCTACTCCTGCTCTTCCTCAGGTGCTGTAGGAGGTGGGAGCTCCAACCTCTCACAGGCTCTCATTTTTAGTTACGGTGGCAAACGCTAGAACTAGAACTGGAGATGTTTTCATGCCTTTTTTTTAACTTGACTCCAGAAATAACTCCTGTGAAGTTCTATGTACTCATCTCTATGAACACATTCACATTTGTGTAGACTCAAGAAGCATCTGTTAGCCTTTCCGTGCACTGTTGGAATGAAGTGAAGAAATAACAGACATTTCTTTTATTTTGCTTAAACAGAATCTAATTTATTAAAAGTAAATTCATTACCCTGAGAGAGTCTATTAGTTAACTGATCACACTGAGGAACAGACAAGCCCTGCCTACACTCAACTGGAATCCTGGACCACAGTGTCTGTTTAATAGCTACCATAGATACCTTTTTGTGATGGATGGACATTGGAATGCTCTTCTGGTCCTGTCCAGGATCAGTTATTTGGCATAAGTTTTTTTTGTTTCTCTGTCTGCTTATGCATTTCCTCACAAACAGTGAGGTGTTTGGCTTAACTACCTAGGTAAGACACGGAGAATAAATTTTCTACTCTGTAATTAATAGTTAGCTTTCATCAGGCGAAAGAAAGCAGGATATTCCAGAGCTTCTCATTCTATTACAGGATGTGACAGTTGCAGCCAAAAAGTTGATCTTATTCTCTGGATCTACCCAGTACAGCTGCCTGCAGGTCATTAAAGGCAGAGGAAGCAGGGTTCTTTGTCTAGTGAGTGGGGCAGAGCTCCCTGCACTGTGCATGTCAGCCAGGCCCACAGTCCTGAAAGCAGTGCAGGGAAACTACTGATAATGGGACTATGGGAATAGTCTTTTGCCCTATTAGTTCTATTTAGGGATCTTTTGAAATCCCAATTACTGCTATTGGTACTGCATATCTGCTTTCATCTGTATTCACATTGTAACTCCTAAGCCACTCTTAGTTATGTGGCATTTCCTAAATGGCTAACACACTCCATGTTTTCTAGAATTTAAACAGAAGGAAGAAACCACAGTTAGGTGCCGGAATAATATTCAAGCCAGCATTCAGGAAGATCCATGGAACCTTCCGCTGCGCATCAAGAACCTTGTTGACATCATACAGAAACATGTGGAAGGTCTGTAAATAAGGAAACGTTTGTTGCTAGCTTCAGGGAGAAGAGATCTTAATCAAATCTAGCAATTGATTTCATAATTTTAACTTCTATTGCAATAAGGCTCTCCTGGGCTCTAGAGAGGACCAGGTAGAGCAGGTTGTGGTTTGCAGAGTCCTGGTGCTTTATGGTAAAATGGCACCTGTGCAGCAATTCCAAAGAACTTTTCCGCCCTCACTTTATTTCATCAACACATTCCGATTGATGTCAGACTGATCTATCTTTCTGTGCTTTTTAAACCCTTTTAGAAAATGAAGAGAGAGATGTTTGGTATATTCCAAACTGTGAAGTGAATGCTAGTCAGATATTACAACATCCCGAACCACTGCAGTTTGGTTGAACTGAAACAGGAGATGAAACTGAAGTTTACAGATCAGTGTGAAACACTGCATAGTAATCACCTCCTTAGGGATTCATCCGCAAATGCAATTTGTTTCCAGTAATTCATGGTAGTTAGCAGATTGTGTAGCCAGTAAAATTCTTTGCTTTACACTTAGTTTTTTTCAGTCATGAACATGTCTGTGCAGATCAGGGCTGTCAGAGTAAATAGACATGGCCATGCAGGTGCCAGGGATTTGGGGCAAATGAGGAAACTGTTAACCAGCTGCAATCACATCTGCCTTAGTGTTATGTTGACTACAGTTTTTGCTTTTCTTCACTGTTTTAGATGGGAAGAATCAGCTGCTTTTGGCCTTGTTAAAATGCACAGGTAAGAGATTTTCATTTTTTACAAAACAGCATACCCAAGAAGTCCCTAAGACCGTGGTTTTTTACCAAAATAACATACCCAAGAATTCCCTAAGACAGGGTTTTTCTGTCTCCATTCTTTCCTTTGTACAATCCTCCTTCTCAGATGGAAGACAACTCTCCTTCCCGTTACTACTTCCTGCTGTGGTGAGAACATGCAGTAAAAATGAGATCTACTTACAACTTTCTTGAGCCCATGGACTCTGTCATCATTCCAAACAGAGCAGGCATAGTGAAATTACAGCCAAGAAGACAAAGACCTTACATGTGCAAGGAGAACCCAAATATGCTGGGGACATCGGGAACCTGCTACCACACACCAAACATTGTGCTTGCAGAGCAAGGGACAAGTCTTTACAAGGAGCCTGGGCACAGTCTTTTTGTAATTGTAGCACTTAGTTGGAGTCCTTTTGTTAGAAAATAACATAATACATAACTGGAAACTGGTGCCACACTTGATTCTCAAATCTTCATAGAATGGAGATCAGAGATTTGTATGATTCTTAACTTACCTCTCAGCTCCTGCCAGGGCTGGTCTGTGATTCTGTCCAAAGCAAGCTGTGTGCCAGTCTACTGACCATAAAGGCTGGGCTCTGACAGCAGACAAAATGTGTCCCAAACTGTCTCTCTATGGATGCCCCATCTCCTGCAGCATTTCCAGGAACATCTACTGGAAAGAAGGATGGTTGCCCTTAAGCTGAAAATATGGCCCCGGGCCTGGAGTGTGTTAGTCAGTCTATTGTGTTCAGTGCTTATAAAAATAATCTTTTGAAGCCTCTGAGTGATGTCTTCAGCTTCTTTCCCTAGGGAACAGTGCCTTGCCAATGAGAGGCTGCTGTAGCACTGCAGAGCCTGCTGGAGGGGCTGGGGGTGCCTGGGAAGGAGCTCTTTACTTATTCATGTGCCTCTCTGGCCTGCAATCTCCTGAAGCATGACAAGATTGATTTGACCAGCATGTGGCTGCCTGGCAGGCGCACTGGAAGCAAAATGAACATAGGTGAAATTCTCCCAAGAAGCAAACCAACTGGTACTGTATGGATGGGCCCAGTTAATGCATTAGGCATATGGGAAGCTGACAAAGTACAGATAGATGGGGGAAGATTAATAGCCCAGGAGAGAAGTAATGGTGGAGACCTTCTTTCAATAATTCTCTTGCTCCTGTAAACGTAAAAAGAATCCAGATATGGCTGTAACTAAGGAATTACTTTCCAGTACTTAGTTTCTTTCCAGTAAGAAGGAGCATGCAGATGGCAGAGGGAGTAATGAACAGTCAACTGGACTAGAAAATGTCACAACATGTGCATGTGCCAGCTGTGCTGTCTTTAGCTATCCATGCAGGTCACACAGCAAGAAGAGGTTATCCGTGAAGTCATTGCAAAGCTACAGCAGAAGCCCGACGTCGTGTGCACACACACACACACACAAACTACTTTGTTGGCAGTGAGAAGGAAGATAAGTGTATTCATGACTTCTTCATGCTTCTCTCCCCGTCTCTGACAGATACTGAGCTACAGCTGAGACGTGATTCCATCTTCTGTCAGTCTCTTGTGGCTGCTGTTTGCACCTTTTCAGAGCAGTTACTGGCTGCTCTCAACTATCGGTACAACAACAATGGGGAATATGAAGAGAGCAGCAGAGATGCCAGCAGAAAATGGCTGGAACAGATAGCAGCCACTGGAGTTTTACTAAACTACCAGTCTCTTCTCTCCCCCACTGTGGTAAGAATAAGAATTGTGGTATCCTTGGGTCTGCTTACATTTGCTTGTGTGATTCTGTGCCACTCAGCACAGCCAGAGCTGTTGAACCTCTTACCTGCATTCCAGCAGCATATTCAGACTCTCACTACTGCAAACTCTGGAGATTTCCACAGCTGACAACCAAGTGCCATATTCCCTATCCAGTCATATTCGCCTCTTCACAAATGCTGGACCCACTGTCACTATACTCACACACAAAAAACACTATAGAAAACACTATAGAAAACAGTCAGCCTTCATATTTGGAGTAATGCTGCTGCACTTAGAGAGGTTTCAGTGCCCAGCTGTTGGTGGCATGAGTGTCCTCTGCCATCCCCTGGTGAGGACACGCATCTCCCAAACGGCTGAGGAAGTTCTGAGTATTGCAGGAGTTCAGACTAACAGATAGAGTTCAGTCTCTCCCTGTGGTGAGAGGTCTGTGGTGCTGGGGCTTGAGGCACCATGTCTAAGGAGAGGAGCCGTGCTTGCATAGTTAATTGGCACCTAATGAACAGATGAGCTGCACCTACAGGAGATCAGCTGCTGAAACTTTAAAAATGCTAAGAAAAGAGAGGCATAAAACAGACAAGTAGCTCTGATATTATAGAGAAGGGAGTTTTTTTCCTCCGCTTTGTAGACGTTGTAGATTGAGTGTGGGGATTTTTGATAAAATACAGTCCAAACTATCTATGTGTTTAACTGCTATTTGTTTGCTTTGCGTAGAAGGTATCAGTATTTCTTTTGCAGTAACTGATCAGCTGTTCTTCACATTTGTAGCTATAAAGTTTGGAGAAAGAGATTCCTTCAAAATTACTCTGTTTTTAACCCTCTCTACTCTGTGAATCACATCAAATGACATCTAAGCAAAGGGTGGTTAAAGTTGTATCAGAGAGTTAAAAACCTGTTAGTGATTTCCTGGCTGGGATGGAGCTAATGGAAGGCTCTGCACTCTGCTTTAGGTGGCCTGGACCAAAACATGCCCACAACAACAGTACCTGCCTGTCCCTCGTCTTCTGACCGACAATAACCTGTTTGTATCTGTTGCCTTGCCCTACAGAAGGAGGAGCGCACCATGCTGGAAGACATCCAGGTTACTCTGGCTGAACTAGACAAAGTTACCTTTTTTTTCAAGCAGCTGGATGAAAGCCTTGTAGCAAGTGAGTATTCTCTGTTTCTTGAGGTACTTTTATTTTTATGTTATGTTCTATGGATTAATATCCTCTATGATTGTAATGTAAGAGACCATGTCACACTTGGAGAGCACTGGGCAGCTTCTCTGAAGCACTGCTGTATTCCCTCAGCTTCCCCTGCAAGCACACAGCCCCTAAAGCAGGACTGACACGATGGAATGGTGCTGCATGTTCTGTGCTGTGTAGCTGTGGCCTGTGCCAGTGTGCCTCATCTGTGTAATTCTGTGCAGAGGGAGGAGATATGACAGAGAATTAGCACCACACTCCCTGTGGTGAATTCCCAGCTTTTCAGTGTCTAGTGTCTTACCCTGCCAGATCTTCCTCTTCATAAGAAGAGATCTTTCTCTTCATCTTCACTGGATATGAAATGCCATGAAACAACATGAGATTCTAATTATTAACCATATTTACTGTATTTGGATCAAACATCATTCTAGGTCACACTATGATCTTTTATGTATAAGATTTCAGAGCCTGCATTCTCTCCATAAAGGTTCTCCCTTATTGACCTTATAGTGATGTGATGTGTCATTTGATAATCTAACAAACTCAGATGGCAATGGTTTCGTAATCCTCCTGCTGTGGTAAAGCAGCAAGTGTTTTATCTTTGTTTCTCCAGATACTCATGTCGTCTACCACATCGAAGGAAGTCGTCAGGCCTTGAAGGTTATCTTTTATCTTGACAGTTACTACTTCTCCAAACTGCCTGCTCGCTTTCAGAATGGGGGAACCTTGAAACTGCACACAGTGCTCTTTACAAAAGGTGTCTATTAAAAGCTTTCTTGAGAAAAATAAGCTAACTACCAATTTTGAAAGATTAAAAATAAAAAATGACCCCGAAGCTCTTGGAAAAGCAGCTGAGACCTACAGACTCACTTAGGAAGCAGACATTTCTATTTCAGGAAGCCCTGGGGGAGTGCTAGACGTTACAATTAGACGCCGTCATGAGAACAAGATGTGCTTGTTTGGGGCTTTTTTATGCCTCAGCCATAGAGACATTATACTGGACTAAATGGATAGTTTGATCTAGTGTAGGATCAAGAGATGTGCCCAGGCTACAGAGAAGTGTTTTAAAAAGTGGACACAGTGACAGAATCACGTGGGCTAGAAATCGACTTGATAAGCAAATATTCACACCAAAATACAACACAGGAATTTCTTTCAGGGGACCACTAATGGGGAGTAATTGCTGTCAGACAGAACTGCTTTCTGTGAAGCTCACCTCTATGATACTACCACTGTACTCCCATACTGGGAAAAGCATTAAATTTAAAGAGTAACAGAATCAGCCTTGACATTATGCAACAGTCATCTGCTGAGCAATGAGATGATACAGAGATAAATAAATGAATTTAAAAAAATAACCACTAATAACATAGCTTTAGTAAAGTGTTTTCTTCTTCAGCTCTGGAGAGTACAGAGGGGCAGTCACAACCAGCTGGTTCACCTCTAGAAGAACTCCCACAGCAAATTAATGGTGTTTCACTCGAAAAAGTGCAGCAATACTACCGTAAACTCAGGTATTTTGTACTTCTGCTTTGCCTTAAAAGACATTGAGCATTTCAGAGCACTCCTTATTAAGGGCCTGAAAATTTAATGAAAGAGATGTTTCATTCCTGATGAGGTTTTTGTACAAACAGGAGATCCTCATTGTGTGGGAAACTTGGTAATTTTTTCCCAGTAGTTTAGCCCATTCAGAAGGAATGCAGATTTGACCTCAGAATTTTGTGCAGAGCTAGAATTATATTGTTCTTAATGGGGATTTGGAATATGCTAGTACAGACTCTGTAAATTACTGCAATCTCAATGGTTCAATAAGGAAGCAGATCTTCAAGATTTTTAGCATAGCCTTCTCAGCTGTTTTACACAAGATGGTATACATATATGTGCTTGAAGTGGGACAAACCCAACTAATGTAGTACCTGCTGGCCTTTTTGCAGGACATTTTACCTAGAGAGATCAAACCTGCCCACTGATTCCAATACTACTGCAGTGAAGATTGACCAGGTATTGTTTCTGCACTTATTTCTGCAATAAATTCTCTCATGGAAGTATTATTTCAACATCTCTAAAATTCCAGTTGTGGGATACCTGTATGGAAGATCTATACAAACACGAACAGCATTTTAAAATATTCCCAACCTTAGGGGGGGTCTGAATTTCTCTGAAGCTTGGCTACAGTTCTTTTGTTGAGAAGGAAAAGTTCAGAACCTTGGTAGACACAAACCCCCTTCACTGCAGCACTAAGGAGGCTCTGTGTGAGCCTGCCTGCCCTTGCCAAACATGGTGTCTGATGCCAGACAGAATGGGCTCATTTTCCTCTCCCACAGATGCATGCAAACTAACAAATGTTCAATTTGCAATTTGTTACACTTCGGTCACATAATTTGTCAGTATGTACACTTTGTTGCAGAGAAAACAAGAAAATAGTGCTGCCCAGCATCTCACATGTAGGCAGTCTGTCTAACTGGGCAGGTGACGTGGATATGTGCACGTGAAGCCTTAAAATGCTACTGGAGGGAACATCTTTGCAATTGTAATACACGTTGTAAACAATCCCAAGCATAAGTAATTTTATTTTGCCACTTCCAAAGTTCCTAAATATTGTAAATAGTTGTTACTGTGTGGCAGTTATGCTTGTGTAGAATATTGTGCATTGATAATAGTATAAAGACTTGTAAATATCTTTATAGCTTGGTGTTATTATGCAACGGATTGTTTTTGTATTGCTTTGTTTAGCTTATTCGCCCTATCAATGCCATGGATGAGCTTTGCAGGCTGCTGAAGTCTTTCATCAGTGCAAAGCCAATGCAGTCAGGATGTTCCAGCAGTGCCTCATCAGGAGCTGGCCTGCTGCCCATATCCTCTGAGCTCTGCTACCGGCTGGGAGCCTGTCAGATCACCATGTGTGCCACTGGGATGCACAGGTGAGTGAGGGTTAAACCTGTCTGCTACGTCTGTGATGGCAGCTTCTGTCCTTTCTAGAGATGCATCCTAATCAAAGCAAAATAAGGGAAATTCTAAGGGAATGTAATAAGGACCTAAATCTGCTGCCATTTTTACTTCAGGGTAGGTTGTAACTTTTAATACTTTTGTTAATAAGTAGTGTTGACACAAGCAGTGCCTCATCCAATGCAACTGACCAAGTGATCTTGTTGCATAGAAGTTGTAGTCAGCATTGTCTTCAGTTGCACAGTGAAAATGTAGGAAGTTGCTCAAAAATAGCTTTAGAATCTTGGTGTGTGCACAGGTTGATTTTGAAACACACCACTATTCTATCAGTGTCTCAAAAGTAAAGATTAATTTGTGAATCCCTTTAAAATGAATCAATGCAGAAGAGCAGCAACACACAGCCTTGTAGTAATGATGCTGGAGACTCAAATAATTGTAGTGTCCAGGTGCAGCAAGACTGAGGTAATTTAATAGTTTTGTGTGTAGAAAAATCTAAAAAAGTAAATAAAAATAAATAGGTAACGGAAGCAATACTTACCAGGTAAGTGTTGTGCACAAGCCTGTTTATACTTCTAAGCTGCGGTCTGTGATTTCCTGACACGGTTCCCTCGTTCAGGAGTACGCTGAGCGTGTCCCTGGAGCAAGCAGCCATACTGGCCCGCAGCCATGGGCTCCTGCCCAAGTGTATCATGCAAGCTACAGACATCATGCGAAAGCAGGTGAGTGTTTGATGTGTCTGCTGCACGCCGCCCTTGGCCAGCAACACCACGGTGCAAACAGCAGTCTGTTGTGCTGCGGCACGGTGCTTTGTGCACTGCAAACCTACAAGTCCCAACTCCTACTAATGGCTGAATAACTACACCTGTGTGTGAGAGAAACAAGTTCATTTTTATCCCTACAGCCTCTGCAGCAATTCAAACCTGTGCCTCAGTGTATATTGTGTGTGCCCTGGCAGTTAGAAATGAGAGAACGTGCAGAATATTTAAGACAATTTCTGTACAGAAAAAACCCAAGTCTCAGTCATAGTGTTAAAATAGCAGAAATTACCTAGTGCTGGACAGCAGTGCTTGTAAAGTAGTTTGGGACTAATTTATCTTTTAGGTAAACATAGATGATAATCCACCCAATGGATTCAAAATGTTTTAGAAGTAGTTAATGGATTCTCAAATAGGAACCACACTCCTATTATAATATTTTTTCCTCAGGATCATTTGCTTTATCAATACTGTTGATACCAATACCACAAATTCTCTGTTTTCACAGGGACCAAGAGTTGAAATCTCTGCCAAGAACCTGAAAGTGATGGACCAAATGCCACAGCATGCACCTCGGTAGGTTATTATTAGTATTTTTGTTAGTATTTTACATTTTCTCTGAGTGCAGATTTTGTTTCTGTAACAATTGTGGAGTTCCTGCTATAACCAAAGATGATCTTAGTAGCAATATTGGGGGAAAAAAGGAAAAAAAAAATCGTTCTTATTTCTCCCTGTCCTAAACTAAGTACACACTTTAGATTAATCACCTTTGCTGCTTATGATTTGCAGATCATCAGATGCAAGGGTTTCTGCCTTTTCTGGATCAAATGTAGCTGATCTTTTTTGGACTGTTCCTGTAAGTCAGCAAAGCTAGTGATGGACAGTCATCCCTGGAATGTTTAGAAAGAAAAATTTCTGAACAGCAAATTTGACTGCAGATATGCAAAGATAATACAGTAATGTGCTTACAAGAGTCTGATGGTTTAGTTCAGGCAGAGCAGGTTTAAGAGCAAGCACTTCCAGACAGAGAAACCACACAGTAATGCAGCCCTGAGGAACCTCAGTTGCCCAGGGTTATATATGGGTTTGTCTAGAAGGCAGCTTTGAAAAGTACTGTACATTTGTGAATGCTACTGCATCTAATGGGAGATAGAGATGTTCATCTCTCTCTACAAGAGAATAATACATTTACTTATCTTCTGTCAGTTTCTTCCAATTTCACCTCTCAGAGAGAAAAGAATGTTCTTTAATAAACTGTAACACAGCATTTTCCCACAATGGCAGTAATTTGTCATGGTTTAGAGGACAGTATATACAGAATCCGTCTGTACAAATACCAGAGAAACTTCTGATTCTGTTGTTGTTCGTGGCATTGTTTACACGAAGGCAAAACAGTTCAGGCCCACAAGAATGAGCATCAGAAAAGGTCCAGCAAAGTCTGTAGCATATCTTTAGACAGAACAAGTGTGTTTGCTAGTGCCCGAGTCCTCCGAAGAGCACATCGGTTCAGTGTTAAGAAAACGTCCTTAAACACTTCTATCTTATTCACCCATTAAGACTTCTGAGTTAGTCTAAATTAGCCCTTCTTTTAATTTTTCTTTTTTTCTCTCCTATTCACTCCTCAAAATGTTTATAGAAAATGATTTTAAAATTTAGAGACACTGGTGATGCTCCATCTAACAGTCTTGGTTCATTTTCTCAGAGACATTAAAAAGAGTAGAATTTTGCATTTAGAACCTTATCCTTCTGTTGGATATTAATTGCTATTTCAAAAACAAATAAAGCAGTGGTATTGGCTCCTGTACCATGGCCTGGGTGCCATCCATCAGTGTTTTGGCATTGTAGTTATTTTGCCATATTAATAGCCACACATTACTTTGGCTCCACTGATATGGCCACAACCATGTTACCTTCAAAAAGAAGCAGTTTTAAAAACAAACCACAGGATCAGGCATTTCTTTCTTTTGAGTACACTCTAAATCACAGTGATAAATTCCAGAACTATTTACTTGGATTATTTCAGGGCAATAAAGCTCGGATATGTGTGTTCCTACTGGGTTCCATCACAATGCAAAACAAAACTGAGAAGAGTTTAAAGGAGATCTGGTGAATTAACTCCCAGGATTGTATTTCTTAGCACAAATCTGTAATAGCTTTCTTGAAAGAGAAGTTATAAAATACTTGAATTTATTCTGATGTAAAGAAGAAAAAGCCAAGAAGAAGCTCACAAAATCACACATGAATGACAAGTCAACATGTGCTTAGTGGTTAGACATGTGTTTAACCACTATTCTCAATTTGTTAATCTTGTGAGTCAAAAATTTTCTGTGAAAACATGATTATTAATTTTAAGATTTGTTCAAGCATGTCAACAAGTAGACATGTTCTTCTATGTGTTTGGTATCCCAGCCTGTATGACAGGGAGAACTTTTTTGCTCAGGAAAAATGCCGAACTGTGTTTAAAATCAAAAGAAATAGAAAAAGAGAGAAAGGACCCTTAAAAAACCAAATTGAACCAAAATTAAGAGGAAGTGATGGAGAGTCTCAAATAATATTGTAAACAATGATTATAAATACTTAAGTTAATGAATGGCTAGTGGCACTTCTAAACTTCCAATTACTAAGATCAAAAATAGGAGTATTCTTGATACGTCATTACCTCTAGAGCTTGCAGAATAACAAAGAAGCTGCTGACCTCGTAGGTGAATCCAGTAACTTTGTCATTGTCCCTGTGATCTCTAATTCTCTACTCTACTGAAGACTCTACAGGTTGTGCCAGCCGCCTACAGAGGGGGATTTATAGGAGCAAGAGGCTCTGGGCTGAGGACCTGCGACCTGACCCCGGTGGTGCTGCTGTGCTCGGCAGGAGAGGGACCTGCTGGCCCAGGCATCAGGAATGCAGGATCCGTGTATTTCTTGGACTTCAAATTCCTGAAACAAATACCACAGGCAAGGATGGATGCTGCTGCCATTCAGATGCCTGGAAAATGACCATTATGCTTCAAGAAAGCACAGTTCTCCTCGTGACTTGTTTGTGCAACCACCAGAAAGTTGTGGACTTGGAGATACGGCTTGGTTCAGAAAATCCTGCTGGACACTCCTCTCTCTCCCTCTACTGCCCCTGGCACCCATTTAACTGCCAGCAGGTTTTGGACAACGTCCTTTAGTGGTAGTTGCATAAACCCCACGTTTTCGTGAACTGACCTGCACTTTTCAGCGAAGAATAGCACAATCTACGGTTTATTCAAATAGGAACATAAAGAATTTCTTCTGGAGTAATTTTCCACTTCAGCCCAGTGAGAGAATCTCTCTATGCTGCAGAGTATACATTCCATAATACTTCTTATCATTACTTCATTTTACTTACTGTAGCTTTCAGGTTTTGATTAACTCTTTTTACTAATGCCCTGTGATTATGTACTCTGGAATACAGTGCTAATGAAGAGCAGTGTAGGATTTTTACAAAAAACTTTGCAAAGAAAAAATACAGTTTGATAATCTGATGATTTCAACAGATGTAGTTTTAAAAACAGGTCAGAAGAACTATACTTATTTATGTGGAGTGGAATAATACGTGTTTTTGATCATGTTATTATATGTACAAGATGAAAATAAAAATTATATTGTTTAAAATGGGACCAATATACTGGCAGTTACACAGCTACTCCCAGTTTACTGAAAAGATCTACATTATTTAAAATCTTCAATATTTAAGTAGTCTTTAAAACAGTTATTAAGATGTATTAGGGATGCTTTTAAGTTAAAAGAAAAAAGGAATCATGTATATAATGTTCTTTATTTTTTTCTTGTTTAAAAAATTGTTCTCCATTCTGTCAGTATTACCCTAAGCACTGTAGTTTTTTCCAAGTTACTGGCTGAAACTAATCAAAGCATGTCAGCAGTCTCAGGACAGAAATAATGTTCTTTTGGAGTGAGTGCCTTAACATGACCAACCCTCCCTAACATGGCAGGTGTACAAGAACCTCCCCATTCCTGTTCCTCCACAGCCTCCTTTAAACCAGCTCCCAGTCAGGAAACCCAGGAGTGCTTTGCAGTAATGTATATTTTATAAAATAAAGGTTTGGGGGTTTTATTTGTGTTGTTGTTTGGTTTTTAGTGGCTTTACTTTATTTTATTTTATTAACATCCAAAGCAACTCAAAAACTAATGGATGTTTTCATTTGGACATGAAGGCCTCTCTAATTTTTATAATCTTCTCTTGAACACAAAACTGTTTATGGCAAGTTGGGAAATGCAGTTTGTTCTGAATCTCGTTTCTTAATTTTTTAATATTTGTTTTCTTCTCTCACAGACTGAAATAATTTTGGGGAAGGAAATTATTTTTTATTTTCTCTTTATTTCTTTTAACTGTTTCCTCTGATCTGCAGCAACGTGTTGCAGGAAACTAGGACAGCCTATGGACTGCCAGCTTTGGGATACAGATTTGGTACTAGGTGTCCATCCTGGACTGCAAGCAGATGAACAGATCTCTATTTCAATGCACTTTTTGTTAATTTTGGAAAAGTTACTCTTACCATGTGCTATTTGAAGAAAAAAATGGATGTTTCTTCACTGAATCCAGAATTTCAAATGTACTTAATACTAGAAGAACCTTAGAAACGCCCCAAAGTAAAAAAGAACCCATGGGGTGAGCCCTGCCTGTGTCCCCATCAGTTGTGCTCTGCAGAATGGCCTGGGCAGGATCCTGGCCCATGCCTGCAGCCTCTGGCAACATGACAGCTGCAGAGAAGGGTGTACAAGGGCATTTACACTGTGCACTGTTTTACACTGAAATGTATGTGTTATTCTCACTTAAAACTTGAGAGACGTTTTTATTATTAAAAGTTGGTTTATATTATAAGGAAAGAAGGTTGATCTCATTTTCTGTTACTCCCTTTAGTTCCTTTGCCCTGCATTCTCTTGAGCAGTTTTAAGTTCTGGTATGCTTGTGTGGCATGGGAAGCAGCCAGAAGTTCAAGTGGTAAGGGGAAAGCTGGGTTTGATTTCAGCTCAAACTGGCAGTGTAGTCAGTCAGCCTGTTTGTGCAGTCTCCTAAAGGTGTGGGGGAGACCACAGACTCCTGTTAAGGTAGAAAAAACCCCTGGTTTAATGATGTAAAATAACCAGTGCTGGGAACTAACAGTTCGAGTGGAAAAAGAAGAGGGCAATGCACAAACCAACTTGCAAGCAAAGAGAGAGTAGGTCTGCCAAATTTCCAGGGCTGAAAGTGAAGAATCAGGATTGGCACAACAAAACAAGTGCAGATTTTGCAGATTTGGAACATCTCATACAGTGGAAGTGTGGAAAACAGTCAAGATGGAGAACATGGGAACTATAGCAGCTTCATGATGGTGTGGTTGGGTGGCAGCTGTGAGTGGAATTCCTTGTGTATGTGTCTCGTAACTGAGTTTGCTCAACATTTTCATTAACCCCTGAGGCACATACATTGGCAGGCTGGGGTGATACTGTTTTGGGAGACACTAATCTTGCAAAGGATCTTGGTACACATACAAAAAAACCCTGAAGGACTTTGAACAGGATGAAATTAGTGGGATTAGATTTTTCCGCACAAATATTACTTCATGCTGTTGAAGATTGAACAAAATATTTTGCTGTATTTCTTGTTAATTGATAATAAAAGGACCATGTCTTAGAGTTTGTCACAAGATGACACAGAGGCAATTTGACGGAGTCATGAAAGCTCAAGCCTGGACTCGGTATTCAGGCCTCTCTGCTTTGTTCAAATAAAGTGATAATGCAGTAGCTGGGTGTTGAAGAACAGATGGCTTTATAAAAAAATAATAATGAGAAAGGTAAAGACAGTTCAAGCTGAACATAAATAGCGCCTGAAGGGAAAAAAGTGATCAGGGCTAAATATTGGCTGAAAGTTTTCCTTCCATCAGGCTTTGACAAAAAAAGAAATAATTTGTGTGAAGCAAGTTGTAAAGGCTGAAGCAGTGCCTAGTGCAGCAGAGCCTGCAAGCTGTCTCCAGTTCTGAGATGGGTTCTCTGAGGAGCTGAAGGGTAAGACTGGTAAGTGTAACACATGTGGGCTGACTGTATGTAGTCAATATGCAGTACACTCCCTTAGGTGGAGTCCTGGTCACCCTTGAGCTTACAAAGCATATGATTTCAGTGAGCAAAACTGAGCGATTGAATTAGCTGCAGAAAAAAGCAGCAAACCCCATGAGTGACATTTGTCACTTACTGCACATGATTGTTATAATAATCTCATCAGGCTCAAGATCTACTATCAGAAAAATTACTGATATATTAATGCAGTTTTTCTTAACATATCCTATAGAACCAGTTAGCCATTGGGTTTAATGCTTACAAGTTATATATCAAAAAGGTAGTTCTTTACCAAAGGAATTTACATCTAAAAATCTGTCCAGTTTTTGGAGGGTGTTGTAACTCTCCCAGTTCCTGACAAGGGAAGTTAACAGGTACAGAGGGTCTAGACAGAAAACCTCCAAAAAAACCCAGCCCTACTGTTGTAAGACTCTGGGTCCTGGGTCAAATCCTGAGCAGATTGCTCAGACTCTGTCCATTTCAAACTGGATTAGAAAAAACGCAATAAACGTCCCGATTCTTAGCCTTCTAAACTGATCTAAAGTGTGCTCTGTCCTGTTCCAGCATGCCTCAATAAAGCTGTTTCTTTGCTTTAGGACACACTTTCTTCAGCTCTCTCACGCACTGGCAGCAGTGAAAGCAGGGAGCAGTGCCCTGGCTGGCGTGAAGAGCAGAGGGTTACCACAATTTTTCCAGTCATCCTGGAGAAGCCAAACTGCTGCTAAATAGAGCTGCTTTCACTGAGCTGCCAAAGCTTCCTTGGAGCTCTTAAACAACCCCTTCTGGTTGTCATGATTCACTGTATGAAAAATACTTCTCCTTGCCAAAATAATGACTCATTTTGTAAAATGTCAATTAATGCCTTGCAAAGTCTGCAAAAAATAGGTCTGTTTTTAAATGAATTAGGATTTAAATTAGTAATTAATATTTGAATCAGTGATTATTTTCTTGATCCTGCTTAAAATTTAGTTATAAGCACTTTGAAGGCAATGTGGAAAGATGCATTACTATTTAATCAGCTTTAAATTACTTATATAATTACTTACATGAGTGACAGTCTCATCTTGAGATAATTAAAATAATTAGTACGGCTTTATCACAGTTTTAATGTGCAAAAATCAAATTCACATGATTAGAGGTGCTTGAATACTGGGGGTTTTGATGGAATTTATCTGCAAATTATCGCATGAAAGTTATGTGGCCATCAGTTCTATTTTTCAGGGAGTTATTATTTAGAAATAATAAGCAATTTTACAGCTGGTACAACACATGGTGTGTCTTGCTGCAAAAAATGACAAACCTCGAGCCTTATTTCTTCTGCCTGCTTGGGTGTAGTTTCAATAAATTCAGTGGAATCAATGTTAGAGAGTTGATTGCAAACCAGCTACAACCAACAGGTTTGAGCATATAATGCAAACGCAACAGAAGTTTTCAACTTTTTAAGCAGTAGTTTAAAACTATAAAGGAGGGAGCTATTTCACTTCTGTATGGATGGGAAATGAGAACAAGATGTAATTCTAACTGAAATGACTGCATTAAAATTGCACTGAAATTCTTGAGTGACAAGAAACAAAGTAGTTTTCACACTGGATGGGTGTGATCAGCACTATACTGCTCACATCTCTCTTGAGATCTGCCAGGACTTGTTCAGCAATGATCTGATGAATGGGAAAATGGTGTGGTGAGAAAAAAAAATTATAAAATATAATTTAGGATAACAAAATCCAAAGGCAATTGAAAAAAAGCTGCAAAAGAATGTTGCAGTAATGAGTGTCTGAAATTATTTAATGGCAATAAAATGAACTATCAGCAACTGCAGAGTATGGGTCACACAAAATAAATGGGCCACACTGAAGATACAAAGTCAGGTTTTAAATTTGATACCCAAGCTTTAGAAAATCTTTCAGAGTTTCCATGGACCATTCCCTGGAATATTTAGTTCAGCATTTTGTGACAACCTAAAAGAAACTAGAATTGTTAGGGACAGAAAAGAAACCATAGCTGAATACCTTATTAATTCCCTGGTGCCTCTGAGTCTTAAACGCTGCAAGAATTACTATTGGTTTAGGCATGAAACACTTTTGAACTACCTTGAGAATCTGCACACAAGCAATGTCCATATTGTGTGTCCTTCATGTATGTCCATACAAGAAGGGTTTTTGGAGCACAGAAATAACTTCCTATCATGGCAGAGTAGGCATTATCTGACCTCTGAACAACCTGTACTTCAAATTTAGCAATTTTTCCTCCTAACTTTCCTCTCTGTGTATACCCCAGAATGGTTCTTGATGAGAAGCTCTGGGTTTCTCCCTTCATCAAGTGAGTTTCCTTTAGTTTGGTTTTTTATAACCATTAAAAAATATCGAGAATACTGCTTAGAATTTGCCTTAATAGCTGAGAGCAGACTCATCCAAGCCTGGTCTCAAAGTGATGCAGAAAACCCATAGGAAAACACATATTAGTAGTTAAGTTTTATTCATGAATACTCATAAATTTGTGAAATACATTAAATCTCATGGAAATATCTGTGTAAGCAGCAGTAAGTAAAACCCCTGCTGGTTTCAACAACCTTTTTCAGACATAAAGGAGAAAAGATTTTATGGCAAGTTGCCATGGCTTACAAAACCACAGTCCCATTTACTATGTCTCTATTTGATAAAGGCTCCAGGAAACATCTCTATTTGCAATTAGTAATGGAATTAAAGCTACAATTTTGGCATACCTGTGCATTAACAATGCATAGAAACTACCTCAGCTGTGCATTTACTGGCTGATAAACAGCCTTATCCCTCGTTGTGCGTGGAGAAGTTAAACACAGAGAAGGTGAATTACCATGTCAAGATAGAAAAGCAGAAAATAAGATTCATCTTTTCCTCAGATGGAAACTCAGCTTTTTTATGTAAAGATCCATCAGCCCCTGTTGTGACAACACAAATTAGTGGGGTGCATTGCCCTGAACTGGTTCTCCTGGTGCTGTCCTTTATTGCAGTTGAATGACACTCAGGCAAAATTGCTTCTTGCCTCTGAAAGCCAGAGGAAATGCAGGCAATCACTCCTAGGCTCTCTCTTTTTCCAAGTGAATTTTCACACTTATTAATATAATAATGAGTAATAAGCAAATACAGCCTAAGCAGTCACAGAAAAATTTCAGAAAGCAATTTTTGATCAATTCACATTTTTGATCAACTCAGTTCACAACTGAGTGAACACTATTAAGGGTGACTATGAAAAATTAATTTCACTGTTCATGTATTTTTGCTTGTTATGTCCTTCACATTATTTCTTGCATAATACAACTCCACAAATATTACTTTGTTGTTCATCTGGACAGGACACAAGTGATGAACTGTTAGAGAGAATCCTCATAACTACCCTCAAAAGTGTTAAGTCTCACCAGACAAACAATAAAAAACTTCAAACATATTAAGAGCTTTCATGTGTGTCCCAAAACTGATACACACAGTAAACTGCAATCTCTTTAAAACAAAACCCCTCAAAATAGATTTTTAAGACAGGATAACTGTCCATTCCCACTCCTTTCCCCTTATTACACCAGTATGGCCTGAATATACTCAGAGTGCTACCAGCTACAATGGAAGCTGCTGCTGGTAGGTGCTGAAAGAGGATACATTCTTTTGTATCTTTTCCATACATTTCAATTGCATTGAAGTGGCAGGGGTTTGGGATTGTCCAACTATTCAGTTATTGACTGGCCTGTAGACAGGGTTTGTTTCTAGTTTCTAGTTCTCAATTTAACCTTTTATTCCATTAACTTCA